AAAGACCTAAAAAATCCCGAACATAAGTGAGTCATTTCCACACGAAAAGCAAGAATACACTAGTTATGATCTACAGTGTGTGCATGTCTGCCGCCGAAACTGTAACAATTTTTTTGTCAGACTATTGGCATATATTTTTTTGTTGTTATTCAGCACCTGTATGATAATATTTCCATCCACTCCTTGAATTTTCAGTCATCGGGCAAACACATTCGTTATTCATAGACCAGTTCTGTTTGACCGCTTACAATACTCCGTGTTTAATCGGGGGCAGTGATATGTTGACTCAAAGGCAAATCATTCCATGCAATCAACAGATGCCCAAACAATACAGGAAAACCTGGCTACGAATGATTTGACACTGAGGATGGAATTGACTGTGTTTTTGAACAATATAGCTTTGCGATGGCATTTACATGAATTTGGTGTAATGTCATATCAAGAAATCCAGCTAGGGCAAACCATTTTTTTTCTGACCACTATGCACTGTAAAAACTCCCTGGTCAAAATTGACTCAGAATCTGCGTCTATATCTGCACAACCTTTTCCGAGTCAAAATTTACCCTTTTCTTGGTCAAAATAAACTTTTCCCGGGTCAAAAAGACATTTTTTTCTGGATCATTTTGACCTAAAAATCGTAATTTTTTGACCCTGAAACGGACCTTTCAGATATAGACTCATATCGGGGTCAATTTGACCCCGGAGTTTTTAGAGTGTAGACGAATTTCAAGTTCAAATTTGAATTGAAACCGAGGCACTCGGTGATAAGCGACTGTATGACACTGAATACCTTTTCCTTTCAAATCCTCTCAGCAAGACAGCACTGAGGCCATCGGCTTCATTGCCACGTCAATAGTGTTGAGCACTACATAATAATGGTCATGAAGAATCGTACATCTTGAAATAGAATTCAATTTTACTTTAGGTAAGGGCCTACCTATGTGGGCCGGAGCTTGTGCCTGCCATTTATCTCTATTAGATCGGGTGCAGAAGCGAATCGTTAATTTGGTTGTGAAGAGTTCATGAGCTAGTCACTACAACCCCTTTCCCACCGTAGGCCAGTAGCCATCACCCTCCTAACGCGCCGTTAGGAAAGCGTTAGGAATTGGTTAGGAATCGGTTAGGAATTCGGTTCGGAATGTTCGGAATCGGTACAGTCTGTTCTACAGATATTTCCAATGAAATTGTTCCACCAGTTTAATTGTTTAACTTGGTTCCTCCTGTCAGGGTGTTTGAACGTGCAACCAGGCTCTCTGCTTCATCTCACCCATCCTAACGCGCCGTTAGGAAAGCGTTAGGAATTGGTTAGGAATCGGTTAGGAATTCGGTTCGGAATGTTCGGAATCGGTACAGTCTGTTCTACAGATATTTCCAATGAAATTGTTCCACCAGTTTAATTGTTTAACTTGGTTCCTCCTGTCAGGGTGTTTGAACGTGCAACCAGGCTCTCTGCTTCATCTCACCCATACACTCTAGCTGTGCCGAGATGTAGAACAAAGAGCTACTATAATCAGGCATGCAAGTTGTTCCATCAGTTTGTTTGACTTGGTTGCTCCTGTCAGGGTGTTTGAACGTGCAACCAGGCTCTCTGCTTCCTCTCACCCATACACTCTAGCTGTGCCGAGATGTAGAACAAAGAGCTACTATAATCAGGCATGCAAGTTGTTCCATCAGTTTGTTTGACTCGGTTGCTCCTGTCAGGGTGTTTGAGCGTGCAACCAGGCTCTCTGCTTCCTCTCACCCATACACTCTAGCTGTGCCGAGATGTAGAACAAAGAGCTACTATAATCAGGCATGCAAGTTGTTCCATCAGTTTGTATGACTTGGTTCCTCCTGTCAGGGTGTTTGAGCGTGCAACCAGGCTCTCTGCTTCCTCTCACCCATACACTCTAGCTGTGCCGAGATGTAGAACCAAGAGCTACTCTAATGGCTTTTCCCCACATTTTGTATCTATTTGGAACTGCTTGCCTAGTGCGTGTTTCCCTCCATTCTATGATCTAGCATGTTTTAAGAGCAATTCAATTCCTACCTCAAGTTTTCCTGATTATTTTCTTCGTCTCATTTTTTCTTCATAGCCCTTTGCCAAGAGTGGCTTTTATAGCCTTGCTTGGGGCGATTTTGCAGTAAAAAAACAACAAAATTTATATGATAAAAGGCAGTTACATTGGTGGCATAAAAAAATTTTTTATTGTGAAGGAAATTCTCGAAGAAACACTCCAGAAATATTGACACAAAGATGCTCTTAACCGGTTCCTCATTTACGTTTCATAAAACATAGGTCTTTCTGTTGTGAATTGAAATTGAAGAATTCAACAAAAACATCTTTTGAAGGCTGAGACGGTTTAATTCTCGACTGAAAGTAGACACCGTAACCAATATAGTCATAGGATGTAAAAGTAATGGAAATAATTCAAAACAAATTCAGAAAAAAATCCTCAAAATGATGATTTTGTTTATTATGAATCATATTACAAAAACAGTTTGTTTGTATGATCATCAAAACACCAAAACTCCAGGAGTTTTGATAAATTAAGTTTCCGACATGCACTGTTCAAGCTTTCTTCAAAATGACAGCACGTCCATTGAAAAAAAAAAAACACGGTGTACGTTTGCCTACATTTTCATCGGGGCAAAAGTTAGTCAAATTTACACGAATTGACACCCCGTTGCGGCGTAAAAGCGCTACATAAATGCCTGCTATTATTATTATATTATTATTATACAAAATCAATTTGTGCCAATTGTCAGAAAGAATACAATTTCCCAACTATTTTATTCAACGACCTTTTCATAAAGGCTCGTCAAAAACACACAAAAAATTGCCGGTAGCTCGCTGTGCATGCCCTAGCATAGTTCCACATTCCAACCGCTCGGCAACAACCATCAACACCTCATAATTAATGTTCGTATTTCATGTGATTATTTAAACATGTTGCGGCAGACTATATACCTCCTGGTACGATAGCTCAGTGGCGGTCTTCTGGGGAGGCAAAAGTCCACAATGTTTACATTACACCGGCCCGTTTATTTTGATCATAAATCGCATACTGATTTTTTTTTTTTAGTGAAGTTATTACATTTTTATTGATTTGTACTTTTTGAATGTGAATTGTCGGCCAATTGGTTTTGACAAATGAAAGAGTTCGTCACCCCTCAGCAGCCACCTATTTTTTTCCATACGTCGAAAAAATTGTCATAAAGATATGTTCAAGTTGGAATTAATATTTTTTTGGATATTCTTCTGACTTCTGTATTATTACTTTTTTTCACAAAGTAGGCGTACTTGACATGTGGATTTCAACGGCGCGGCTTTGGCCCGTATTTTTTTTTATATCAGCCGTGTGCGTCATTTATGGTTTATACCGTCTAAGGTTGAATTCTTCGTTTAATTAATGTAAATTATCGTTTGTGTTTGTCTTTCCATTGTGGTTCATTAATTTTCACGCGTTTTTTTTTAAGAGTTGTGTGCTGTGCGATAAGACCGTTTAAAAAAAAATGATTTCCCCAAAAAAGTAATAATAGTGTGATAAAAGGATTAAATAATGTTCATTAGGGCATCTTCACCAAAATCTTTAATCAACATCGTCTCTCTTATGACACACAATAACGTGAATGTCACCGCGATGACCCATCATTTCAACGTTGCACATGCTTGTTTTTTTGAATAGCGCCAAGATCGGATAACATCCATTTGCAGATCCTCTTGAGCAACGACAAAAGTTAAAGCACTTACCGAAAAATAAAAGGTACAATATCTGTCACAATATAGTAGGCCTCGGACAGTTCGTTAGGTAAATCTGAATGATGATCGGAAATTGAAGGCAGACATGTTTGCGTCGCTTCTGGCGTGATGAAAACACCCCATGGGTCGGCATTTTGTAAACGGTGTCGGGCTGGCAAACAACATGCACCTGGCCTTGACACTAAAAACTATTAAAAACAACCAACATTGTCCCCAGTGACTCGAAACTAGGTTAAGAGGGCTCTTCCATTATTTTATTTCTGGCAAGAAGTTACTCTCAAGCACATAACCGCTGCAATTCAAACAATGGTGGCCGAAACCCGCGGAGCCATGGACTTGATTTCAAGTCGGTATATAAAATAAAAACCTGTTTCTGTTTCGACTACGCAGATTTTTAGCACTTCGTTGCTGATTTGTGACTATCTATAGGGCTAATGGTTTTTATCTACTGGGTCGAGGACGAAACCGATCTATCACCCGGCGACTTGAAGTAAAGTCTGGTGGGGTAAAAACTAAATTGTATCTTGGGAGGTAACGAAATTAAAAACCGCAGACAAAAACTCAGTGGAGTTTGCACGAGATGCGGCCGTACCACGGAGTGTTTCTCGGCGGGGTCTGAACCCGGGCCATATCCCGGGGTGAAAAGCGAGTGCAAATTCACTGCCTCAACCTGACCCAATAAGTCTCGGATTAGCCACATGATTGGGGCTATCAAGTAGCCTAAAGCCAAGGACAAAAAGGTAGAGCTTAAATTACTTAGTGAATTTACAAATGTACACACGATGAGTTGAAAAAAAGAAACTTTACAGTCACACACCTTTCAGTATGGCCGAGGTTGTTCACTGCAACGAATAACGCCACCAAGCGTGAGAATATCCCCTCCCAACTCAAGCCAACCCAAGCTCCACCCTTTTTTCTACCTGGATAATAATCATAGGCTTACGAACCGACTATCGACTTTTCATATAGGCTACCACGGCATCAAACTCTGAAGCTGTTTCACAGTTTCAGATCAATTTGCTTTAATCTACAAACACACCTCAAGAACCTCAATGAGAAGCAGTCAGTCAACTGAAAGTCAAAATGCCGACAAATATTTGTTTTTGAGTGAGAAATTGCTTTATAATGCGACACCGTTCTAGCCTAAGTGGAGACCATCTGGCCGTAAAATCACCACACAGCCTAGGTCGATTGTCGAGATTTATTACTGCAACAAAAAGAGGATTTGTTTATTTTATCCACTGCTATAGCAACGGTATAATTCCTCTGGGCACATATAGGAAGATGGCTCACATTTACGAGCGAGTGGTGCAACTCATCTCGCAGGATCCTTCCACGAGACATGCGCGGGACATCGAGTCGCTGATCCCGTGGTTTCAGAACATGAGCGGACTGTTCAAGTCACAGAAAACAGGTAAGAGCCGAGAACTATTCACTGGTGATGTGTCTATTTTGGAATTTGGTGAAAGGGGATGTATCAACAACGATTCAGTAATAATACTGCCTGGTATACTTTCCAAATAGGGATTAATTACTATAATTATCCTAATAAAAGTTATTGCTTTTGTTGAGGTTTTTGATCAACTTTCTTTGTGTTTCGTTTTTACGTTTGGTTGATGATGCCTTCATTTTCTACATTTTCAAGAGAAAAAAAATCACGGAAAAATCGAATTTTACAATCACGCATGACACATTTTTTTCAAGAAAGATGTGCTGATTTTCGCGCTTTTCTTAACCACAAAGTATCTTAAAGACAAATAATTTGATCGGATGATTTGGGGCAAAAATTTCACTTCATTCACAATATTAGATGTAGTGAAGGATATTGTGCGAAACTGCGAGTTCCGATCCGTTCCGGCAGACAACATCATCATCAAACAGGGAGACACTGGCGATTGGTGAGTTAAAAACAAATATGCATAAATAATAGGCCTACTTCGTCGATGAGAACTAATTGTAACTATATATCATTCTATTATTTCAATACCTAGGGAAATAAGTCCCAAAACGTTTTAAGAGGGTAACTCTCTGTTAATATGTGGTGCACTCATGTGATGAGACAAGGAGGTCTGCCCTGCGCAGTTATAGACGGTTTGCCTACGGGTACGAGGCGTGGCAGAGGTCGCCCTAAGCAGCGGCGATTGAAAGAGAACAGGTGATGGCGGCGACCCAAGGGATACGCCCCCATTACAATCTGAGGACGAGGCGGCCACGGACGCAAGTCTATGCCGAATGATAATCTCTGTTAAAAATCGCAAGGCAAATATAGAGGGATTGTTGGAACCCAGAGAAAAATCCATAGATAAACAATTCGAGCTTTCCCCCGTAGTTTATTCTTAATGGCATGGGAAACTCTAATTGTCACTGCTCTCAGTGATTTCTCATTATCTACCATTCCCTTCGCAGTTTCTACATCATTTTGAGCGGTTCCGTGTCCATCTACATCAACCAGACTCTAGAGGAACAAGGCAACATCCAGAACCCCAACGACCTTGCCAAAGCCAAGAGGAAGGCCAAACACCGAGCCAATCGGAGCCGAACCAACAGCCTCATACCCCCGCCTTCCCGGGGCAGGAGCAAAAGCCTCGCCAAATCTACCACCACCCTCCGGTCTCCCTCACCCAAACCGCGACCAAAAGGTCCGGAAAAGCGCGACCGTAAAACCGGAGAGACTAATAAAGACGTATCGGAGGATTTGAAAAATAACGCCGGCGCGCGGAACAGGGCGCGCACCACCCTCTTGCCGCCGAGCGAGAGCCAGGAGCTGCAGCCCGGCGGCTCCACGAGGGAATCGCGGTCCCATAGCTGGGTGCCGCCGACTTACTCGGAGAAGGAGGCAAGCTTCTTTTCGAAGAAAGATGAAGAGGAGGAAGAAACGGAGACGGGTTCCTCGAGCGATGAGGACCAGATGAAGACGGATTCATCCGGGAAGTTGGACAGGACGATGTTTGGAGTACACATCAGGGAACTCGGTAGGCATACACTATCTCATTTTTCCAGTTTCCTATATAGAACGAAATTGCTTCATTTTAACACCTTTTCCAAATAACATTTATTATGACTTCATTTCTTTCGACTTTCAAGATTTTGATATTATCGAGCGAATTCAAATATCTACTCAAGATTTAGTCAAATACATGCATTTCATCAAACTGACGGTATCCCATACGGGACACACTTGACTCAAACTCGCATACCACGCAGGTCCGGGCAAGAGTTTTGGCGAGTTAGCTTTGGTACAGACCAACCTGATACGGAGCGCGTCGGTCATAGCCGACCAGCCTACGGGGCTGATCGTGGTGGACAGAGACCTCTACAACCGATCACTCAAGGCGGCACAGCAGCAGGAGTTCGCGGGGAAGAAACAGTTTGTCAACACCTTCCCCCTGTTCAGGTAAATAAAGGAGGAGCGGTGTCGTTGAGACGGCCGGTCAAAGTCTTGAAAATTGCCGCCACAAAGGACATGCCGTTAGCTAATTGGTCATTTTTACGGTCTTTTACGGCAACCGGTTTAGAACTTTGTTTTAACAATTTCTGGACAATTTTGGAAACTGTTTCTGAGAAGCAGAATGACAAATGTTCAAGGGGAAATTTGGGGAGGGTCTGACCAACTAGATAATGTGTGGTGTTCCTCTCCCTTTTGAACTACATCTGGTGTGCACACGTCCACATGCACCAGTCATCTCGGAATAAATGGGAAGACTTCTGTGAAGTGACGTGATAAAATAAGGCGAGTTTTTTTCACGTCTTATTTCCGTTAGATATCCCTCCAAACCTGTTCTTGAAAACCCCGGCAAACTGTTTACAAGAAAGATGGGACATGCAGGGTTTTATTCTGTGGTCAATTCACAAAACGTCAATCGAAGTAACAATCACAAGTCAAATCACAAGTCAAATAACAAGTTAGGTCACAAATAGTGGGATGAACAATGACAAGGACACGCCGTTATCACAGTTTTAGCTTATGGCAAGTCTTGCGACTGGTTGATTTTTGATGAACTTGTGACGGCATGTGAGGACTTGACTTGAACTCTGTTTAGAAGATAGTTCTCGTGCAATATCTTCTTTGTACGAATAAACGAGTCCCCATTGTGACAAATCTGTTTCCCCTTTTCAACTTTTTGTTAAAACTTCGTCTGAGTGAAACACCCAAAATAGATTTTGCCTCAGGAATGTAGTCGAGTCCATCACAAGTCCTCCAGTCCCAATTCAACTCACAAACTACTCAATGAACTTTGACAAAGGCATTCCCATTTTATATTTCATCCACTATTACTTGTGACTGGACTTGTGACTGGACTTGTGACTGGACTTGTGACTAGACTTGTGACTGGACTTGTGATTGGACTTGTGACTGGACTTGTGACTGGACTTGTGATGGACTTGTGACTGGACTTGTGACTGGACTTGTGATTGGACTTGTGACTGGACTTGTGACTGGACTTGTGACTGGACTTGTGACTGTACTTGTGACTAGACTTGTGACTGGACTTGTGACTGGACTTGTGACTGGACTTGTGACTGGACTTGTGATGGACTTGTGACTGGACTTGTGATTGGACTTGTGACTGGACTTGTAACTGGACTTGTAACTGGACTTGTGACTGGACTTGTGATGGACTTGTGACTGGACTTGTGACTGGACTTGTGATTGGACTTGTGACTGGACTTGTAACTGGACTTGTAACTGGACTTGTGATTTACTTGTGACTGGACTACATTTTGTTTGTCCTAAAAAATTTCTTATAGTCACTGGACCCCGCGGCAGAGAAATGTCATGGCCATGAGCCTGACCAGAGTCCGGTACCAGTACGGCAACAGCATCGTCAGACAAGGGGATAAAGTCAGGGGACTCATCTTCATCACGTCAGGCCGGGCCGTGGTTTCCATAGATCCCATCCAACACATCGAGCAGTATCCGAACATGTGCAGCCAAGAGGATGTCCGATATGCCAAAGAAGTCAGGTTGGTACCCATGCGAACCCCCCCCCCCCAAAAAAAACCCACCTTTGATAGACGCTGCCCAGAACAAACTACTCACATGCAATTTTGCCTTTGAGAAAGATCATGCTAGGATCGGAATGTCAGACCTTCTACCTTTTATTTATACCGTCAACTTTTTCCCTCTCTCTCAAAAATTTTCTGGACAACAAGCGGAGATCTTTTGTAGAAACACGTTTTATTCTTGATCCTCTTTGGTAGGGGTATCAAGATGAAATGTTACCGAACAAAAACCACAGTTTTCAACGTCGTTATATAACATCAAAGCTTTTCTGTTTGAAAATGTTTTTGTTCAAAACACACATCTACGAAGTGGAACAGTCGCCATTTACCTTTAAAGATTCCAAAAGATGCTCTTTATACCTTCTCTTGCGATGCTCTTTATACCTTCTCTTGCGATGTTTTTTTTTTTACAAGACATTCTGATGCAAACTTTTTTCTAGCTACTTCAATGGCATCGGTGTTTTGTTTTAGGTTTATAGACTGATATGTAGAGCTGTGTGAAACTTCACTAGCATTGACCATTTTTAAGAATGAAGTGTTCGTGTTTCTTTCCAGGCTTTGCAAGAGAAGTCGAGCCTCTTTCCCCGGCTCATCCGACTACTGGTTGCAGGACCTTCACAAACCAGGCCCCAACAACCCCAGGCGTAGGGAGGGGTACGCAGCCGCAGAGAAGGAAGTCAACATGAGATCGGTCCAGCTCTGCGCTATCGGAACGAACGATTACATAGGTTGGTGTCCATGAATGCAGTTTTCATTTTCAAATTTCCGCATTCCAAAATGCCGTCATTTCAACACGTCTCAAATTTTAAACTGTCATTTTTGTTCATACATAAATTTCTAAATGAATGCACGGTTTGAACGATTGTATGCGCATGATACATGCAATCGAATTTAAGGCAAAATATTATAATGTTCAATTAAATGTATTCAATTTAAGGTAGACTTTTTGCTTGCTCATAGGTATAAACAGGACATAGTATGACATTATACAGCATGTTACGAATTACTTTTGTGAAGATATTTGCAGAATAATAGTTGAAACGTTTTTAAAGAATGACTTCGCGTTTGTGGTTCCTGCGCCTCAATTTGGACCCTAACCGTCGGCGCGTTTTATGTTTTCAGCATTAAAATGCAAACAATAAACAGGATGGATTGGGAACCTAACGATTCGTTGCATCCCTTGCAGTCTACTGTAAGCAAAAGTACTGCGCTTATGGAAGACGCAGGCCGCGTTTCGTTCTCATATGTCAAGCCCCAAATTAAAAACAAAATAATCATCAACCCATTTTAAAGCTTTCCCGGACTCTTGTATCCATTTCGCCCCATTTCCATTATGCTAAAATCTCAAAACCTCATTTCTACAAGTTCACTCCTATTTCACGACAACTAGTTAGTCTTATTCTGCCAAAGCTGGTTAGCAAAATTGGTGTCCTTTGTTGCCTATGTAGGTGATATCTCGGTCTTGCTGCACCTGCCGACCTACGTTGCCACGGTAACTTGTCTGGAACCTTTGGAGGCGTTGGAGCTGGACTTAAACAACTTTGAGAGGCAGGTCTTTAAGAAGAGTCACTCGACGTACGTAACCATGAGGGAGATAGCGGAGCTGAGGCTTGGAGCGAGGGTGAACAGGTTACAGGAAGAACAGGTACTCCAAATGTCGACTTTGGTAGAGCGCTGATGATCTTGTTAGTCTGTTAATAGACTTGACTAGGCCGTTTCACACTACAGCCCTAAAAAGCAAGGTTTTGTTCGACCCAGTTTGGCCCGACTCTGCGTTAATTCAACCCTGTTCGAATGCACAATACACAAGAACTTCTTGCTCCGGCAAAAAATTTGGTTGAACATAAAACCTTGGATAATGCAAGACCGTTTCATTCTGCGATTTGACTCGGTCATAATGTGAACCATGAATAATTTGGTAGCTTATCCCAATCCAATCCCAATTTGTACTCGCAGGAATATTTTGAAGTTGAAAATTGTCACACTATATAGCTTGAACATTGCCAGTCAAAACAAAGCTGGAGTGACTAAAACCAGCTTTTAGACTGTTGATGGAATGGGCTGAAGCTTTCAAATGTGATTTTGTTGTAATTCCAATTCGCACAAAACTTCAACTCCTTCGACCAAGCATTATTAACTTGTAGAAACTGAGCAACTGATGAAAATAGTTGGTCTGTTTTTGCATTCAAATATGACAGTTAAAGAGGTTGTGGAATGCTCCAAGACATTTCCGTCATTTTTCGGGTATATGTAGCCTAAGGTGTGATGAAATAAAAAAGACTATTGTTTCTGTCATAAAATGAGTACAAAGGGTACTTTTGAGAGCTGTTTTTCAAGTCCTGTCATGCCTGTTTCGACCCGAATGTCTACGATTTACTGTGTTTTATTTGCTGCCCGCAACGACGACTTTTACACAAATTGCACGTTCGGGTCGAAACAGGACCTGAAAAATATTTCTCAAAAGTACCCTTTGTACTCATTTCATGACAGAAACAATAGTCGTTTTTATTTCATCACACCTTAGGCTACATATACCCAAAAAATGACGGAAATGTCTTCGAGCATTCCACAACCTCTTTAAAATAGTGGTGCACATTGAGTGTGTCCTTATGAGTTGAATACCCATACGACTGCATTAGAAACTAAAACCAGTGCCCACGAGATAGGGTCTTTAAAACATGTATTGCTATAGTTCTACAATTCAGTTTGGCTTTTCTATAATTTAAGTAGAGACCGTTGAGTTGAATGTAAAACATTATTGGTGAGACTAGATTAGCAAACTGCCATAATTCAAAGAAAAACCTTAGAGCACGTTCAAGCGAGGACCATGGCTAACCATAGTTGAACTAACTTCACTCGAACGTAGAATAATGGGACTACTTTAAGCAACTGTTTGGAACCGAAGTTTGGGGCACGGTTGCATCACGGGTTAGCAATAGCCACGCGCATCATAATGCATAACAAGAACCACGACCAAGACGTGTTGTGAGTAGAGGCAGTGGCATGCCAACCTTGCCATCTTTGTGTGGGGGATGGACCTAAAAACAAAACTGGTCCACACGATGCAGGTTGTGTGAACCTTCTGTGGACTAAGCCAGGTCCACACAAGGTTTCCCCCTCTCTGGAAAACAGCTTTAGAGGCATATTTGGGTTAGGGTCATCAGTCGCCAAATGCAGAGGAACACTCAAGGAAATCATGATAACATATTTGGGTTCAAAGAGTGTTCACAGAATGAGTAAAATGATTTTTTCCGCGGTTTTTCTTAACTATACGAAACAAAGGAATGTCTACAGTAGGTAAGTATTAGGCCTGGACGTTTGCACATTGCTATTACCGCAGGTGTAAGTTAGGTCACAAATAGACTACTAGTCGACTAATGGTCCTCGCCCGCACTTGCTCATAGCTGCAACTTTCCTATCCACGATCTCCACCCAGGTCTACAGCCCAGTCTTCGAAACCATGCTAGGGAAATTCCAAGAGCTGAACACCTCGCCAGCCATGAAGGCAGCCTTGAGGAGGAAGCAGGCGGAGGAGGAGGATCTGATGGTGTCCCTCTTCACTCCCAGCTGGCACATCTACAGGGAGAAGCAACGCTTGTTTCTCAGGAGAAGACAGAGAGAGAAACGACTACAGGTATTTTCATTTTAATCTCAGTGCACCTTTTTTTTTCATGAGAGGTGAGTTGGGGTCCGAGCCTGGTGTTCTCTTGTCACCTGACTGACCGATTCAATGACTGACTTTCACTTGTGTTTTAAGAGTGGTTATCTGTTTCACTGACCGACTGTCACTCGTGATTTACGCTGGTCTGGGAGCAGCTTTGCGGTGCGAGGCTTGCCTATTTCCATGAAGCATCTACACCACATGATACATAAGTCTGGCACCATTTGTTTCATGTACGTTCAAGATACATGCGTTGGCAATAAGTCAAGTATCCATGCGAGTAGCAAAAGTGGATTTTTTGTTCCCGTCCTTTTAAAAAAAAAGTTATTTGGAATCAATAGCTTTACTAAGCTTGCCTTGTCCTGTTTTTGAAGGGTAGAGTACTTTTTTTAGACTTAAAATGGATATCCTTCTCCGACAGGAAATGAGGATGCAGCAGATGGCCCACGCAGCCAGCCTGGGTATGCAGCTACGACTACAGAGCACGAACATGCTCTCAGAACTCAAAGAAACTGAGGGATCCAACCTGCAATCCCACCGCACCCACGAAGACGCCTTACCTGCCAGCTTACGCAACAACGCCATCCCTACGTACTCCTTGCAACCCGTTAAGGCAATCACGCCGTTGGTTGGCAGACAGCGCAGCATGAGTGATCGCTACGATCGGTACTACCTACCCTCGCATTCCGTCGGTGCCCTGCCCCGGGCACCGTTGATTTCCACCGACAGCTCGCCGTTGATGAACGGACTGAGCGAGAACAAAGACACGAAGGGTGGAGGGGATGCTGGTAAAGAGATGGGGGAGGGTAGTGGACCTCCTGGTGACTCCGTCTGGGGCAAGGATCTAAGAAGGCCCCGCTTCAAGTCCTGGAGCGGTCAAATTGGGAGACAGGACTCAGGAGATAACAACACCCTCCCCAAGTTACCAGAACAGCAGGCTTCAGACAGTCAACAACGAAGACTCCAACCTCAGCAGGCTAACAGTCTGTTACCTCTTGGAATAGGAACAGCCCAATAACCGTGGATTATATTTGAGCCTCTGTTTTAGCCTCTGAAGAAGAACTTGCTAAGTTCGCAACGTCAGGCCACATTAATTTTTAGATTTATATATTTCAGGTCCATCCAGTCAGTAAGCAGTTTGCAGCAGTCTTACTTTTTTTCAGATTATATTTGAGATTTTTCTTCTTGCGTTTGACCCCACTGGTTCAAGACCTTAACATGTACAGATGTTTGGGACACTAACCTAGCAATTTTAAGATACACATCTCAAAATAGATGATCTGGTGGGTAAAGTATGTCTTTCAGGAGTTTGGTAATGCAGGCTAAAACCATCAACAAGCATTTTAGGAATGTTTAGTAGTTTCTTGGTGTAAATATCTGGAACACCCAAAAACATCATTTAAATTAAAAAAGTTTCTTTAGAGTATCTTGAATATCTTTAAAAAAAGAAGAAGGAATTTAGTGAAACATTTAAACTCGATGAACGTGCACTCATATGATGACAACTTCAGGTATGTTTTAAAGATGATTTGCAAAAGCAAATTTATTGGTTCCGGTAAATGAGTTTCTAAGGAGAAGGAAAACAAGCTCACAATTTTTCCAGTAAAAGTTTGTAATCTTGAGGCTCGACAGTGCCTTCCTTGGAACATATTCTTTCCAGAAGGTTTTCCAAAAATACTGAGAACTCTTGCATTAGAGCATAAACATCTATACAGCAATACTGTAAATGTATTGTGTGATGCGACCAGACGCCATTATCCAAACCAAAAAACAATGTTATTTAAGCACTATATATTTGCCAAATACCTCTGAAATATAAATGTATACTGTTAACATAGTTAATTCATTGGTGGACGTTAACCTTGTCTGTATATATGAAAATTTGAATATAAAATGAGAAAATGAAAAAACAAAAAACCAAAAACAAAACCCCAAAACGACATCATTTTTCCTCTGAAGAACATTTTGTTATGACCGCAATGTCAGGCTGCCTTAAAAAAAAAAACCAGTTCCTCAAAATATCTACATTAAGGAGCATCTCAAAAGTCGGAACGTGCTTACAGTGTAAGCACAGAATTTCAAATTGAGACCAGCAGCAGGGGCCACATTTTACGGATCTGCTGGGAGCTGATATCAGCTAAGCAAAGAAAATATCTGCTAAGCGAAAACAGGTTACCGGACAAAAAGCCATTAAATGGTTATTAATAGACCTGTTGCACTGTGTCCCTCCATGGGGGACAGTTTTTGTTATTTGTAGGTAATATACAACATTCGCTTTTGCTGTAATTTTCAGAAATGGATGGATTTAGGGGTTATTCTTTTATAAAATATATTGTTACAATGACCTGATTAAAGTTTTGTGTTCACAGATGCTGGAAACGCCAAGAAAAAAAAATATTGTTCTTGTAGTGTGGTTCCCTGACCCTACTTCAGACGAAACAGAGCAATTTATAGACGTCGGGGAATTGTCAGATCGGGGAACCAGACTAGCTGGCTTGCACTCGTTCACAGATGTGTAACTGATTGCAAACAAAATGTGGACTAACTAAATTAGGTAAATTGGGGGCAGTATTTGAAGAAAAAAAAGTCATTTTTTTTCCAATGATGGTCGGCTGACCACCGTTGGAAATTGATAGAAAATTCCACTTTTATTGAAAATGACAGCACACCAGTTGCCATGATTTCACAGGATGCTTGAGACTATTATTCACTTACAGTCAAGTAAGGTATTTCATAATCATTTGGTAGTTTTGGTTTTTGATGTTTGCAAATGTTATATATTACCTTTAAATTCAGTGATATTAAAAGAACAGTGTCTACTCATGGGCTTCAAAAGAAAAACAAAGCCTTGGTTTCAGATGTGACATCAGATGCAAGGAGTCTAAGATCAGACCTGTCTTCATGAAAGCCTTCTTCAGGCGATTTCTTATTTCTTCCCCACTGCGGCCTGCGCTGCCTTCTTAGCTTTGACCATCTCTACCAGCTCCTGAAGGGTGGAAAAGAAAGAAATCCACACTGATAAATGACAATGAACGACCCAACCCTTAAAAAATCCAACTGCATGTTTTGTTGGAATCTGTTGGAGTGAGTACTGCACTAGTACACTGATTATGCTTGACATGGGGTCAGGCACACCACCAATAATCAGAGTCCAACAAGTTTGGCTGTTGAGTTTACCATAATGGTGTTGGAATTTGCAAGAGTGAGGAAGGTTCATGGTAAATCACTCCAGGGGATTAGGGTTAAGGTTAAATTGGAAAAACGTATTTCAAACTTTACTTTTGATGCACCGAACTTCTCGAGGGGAAAAAAGAAGAAAAAAAACCAGTAGTGTTGGCATTAAGTACCCACCAATCCAACAGCCACATTTTAAGCTCATGATTTGTACCATAAGACGTAAGCCTGAGAACGTGATAACATTGTTTTGGAGTGCACGGGCCTTAGATTATGGAGAAGAATCTGAGTATCTGGACAAATGTACACAGAAAATGCAAAAGAGGTCAAGTCCAAGTCTGAGTGCTAATGTAGTAATGCAAAATGTGTACATTTCTGGCACACCTATGGCAAGCTGTTAGCCCAACAGCAACATTGATCACAGACCACTGGTCGCCTGCGCACTAAAGACAATGTGTGACCATCTCTAGTTAACCGAGGGTCAAAATGGCCTCATGAAACATCTTGGTCCTGGCTCCCTGCTGTGCATTATGATGCAATGAGGTATTGTAACCAGTGATGCAACAAACCTTAAAAGGTAGGGTAAATCATTTGTGCATTTTCTTGTTTTGTTTGAAGCGACCAAAGTGCTCAAAATCTGAAGACGGGCGCTTAACAACTTACCTGATGAAATTTTAGCTCTGTGTATACCGTATATTCCAGGAAAAAATACTCTAGGATCTTAACAAAGTTGCCAAGTCATGTTTTCAATTGCGCCCGAAATCAGCGTCCGGGACACGTTTTCATTCAGCCGATTGCAGCTACGCGATGTCACGCACTGAACTGACGATCAATAGCAACTGCGCACACCTGTGTGTCGTGTCAACGCCTGTGCGCACCCATTAACGGATTCGCTGAATGACAAACCAACTACTTACGGAAATTTCCAAAAATGCATCTTTGGAAAGTGCCTCTTTGGAAATGTCCTTCTTAAATTGTTTTCTTCAAAATGACAGCATGCCAGGGGGACTAATTTCACAGGCAGTTAAGTCTTTAAACCAAGTAAGCTTTTCAACAATAATTTTGTCAGTTACTTGTTGCATAGCTGCAAATGATCTACTCTACCTTTAAGGCTGGTTTCAAATAGCAAACTAGACTTGTCAAAGCGTTGTTGCCTGACAAGCGTTTGATCAGAGTTGGTCGACCTATGGTTATCTACAGTTCTTGATCAAACTTGCTCCAAAATTATCAAAGTGCTACTTGTGGGGAGTGTGGCCTCGTGGTTGGGGTTCGTGACTCATGATAAGAGGGTCAGGGGTTAGAATCCAGCCGTTGGCAATATGTTGTGTCCTTGGGCAAGCCACTTCACCCCCACTTGCCTCTCTCCACCCAGGAGTATAAATGGGTACCAGCATTGGCTGGGGAGTAACCTGCGATGGACTGGCATCCCACCCAGGAGGAATAGAATTATTCTCAGTTGTTTTATGCCACCAAAACCAGAGATAAACGCCGACCTGACGGGCCATATTGGCTCGTGACAGACTTGCTGTTAAGGATGTATTCCTACTCTACCAACTTTTATTTCAGTAAACTCGAGGATATCAGAGTAGGACTCCATTACAGCACTGTTGAGTACACATGGTTAATTGTAAAAGACGGTGTTTGGATTCTAAGTTTCCTGAGGAGTACCTTGTATCTGAGCATGCATTCCTTCTTGCTTCGTCCCGGCACCGTCTCAGCGATGCGATCCCATCTATCCTTGGTGCTGGCTGGGTACGTCTTCAGCGCTTGCTCCAGTCGTTTCTGCTCATCGGTGCTCCACGGCTTGGGTCCTTCCACGGTCTCTGCCGCTTTCTTTTGTTCGGCCGTGTCAGCTGAGGGGACAAAGGACACTAATTTATTGCGGGATTTGAACCTGGGACCTTCAGTTTGTAGTGTCAATGCTTTATCTAAATGTATTTGCCAGCTGTAACAAAGTAAACTGACAAAAAAGCAATCGAATCCCTTACCGACATCGAGTCGTTCTGACGGTGCCATCACATCGTGTTTCTTGGCTTTGCCCTTGGTCTGCTCAAACTTGTCGAAAGCTCTCTTGTTGACCTCCTCCTTCTGTGCACTGTCTGTCAAGACCAAAATAATCAAAATAATTTCTTGAAAGACTCATTACATTTTTTTGCTAACGTCACTAAACAAATGCAATGCGTTTTGAACAAAAAAAATGGAGGATTTTTAGTATTTAAACACCCAGCGTTACGTTTGAGATGCCAATGAGTGACGATAATAATAGGACAAAACTTAAAAATGACACAGACAATGTCATGAGCAGTCACAAAACACTGTCCACTGATCAGGCAACTGATCTGTGGCAACTTACCAAGCTTTTGCAGATTTTTGGTTTTGTTGATGACATCTTTTGCTGTCTTGCTGTTGCCTGACGGGGAATGTTGGTTGATAAAGTTGGCAATCACTTCGTACCTGAAACCGAGACAAATGACGCCAAGTCTTGACAATGGGAAGCACCACTAGTAAACTTTAGTTAAACTGATCGAGTCACACTTAATACATTTTGGTTCTGTGCGTCCCCGAAACTCAAGTCTGAAATAGTGGGGTGTGGTCGGGACCGTTACACGTCCATCACCTTGTCACAAGTCTAGTCACCAACAGACTACAGGCGATGAACAACAACAACAACAAAGGAAAAATTTTTGTCGCATTTTAACTTGAAAAAGCTTGTGACTTGACTTGAAAATGGAGGAACGATGATGGACTCGTGAGGACTTTGTGCTGATGAGTACCACAACGGCAGTCTTCAACTCATGTGCGCCGGTTATTTGACCACAGTGCGGGGGATAACCATCTCTAACCTTGAGATAGACTGGTTCCCAGCCCCTCAGTCATCGATTCTGACTTTGAATGTAGGGACCGGTGCTGCCTGGGAGGAATTCCTACCAGTGTATGATAACTAGTGATTAGCAAATTGTTATAAGATGGAATTTTGCGTTGGGGTGATATAAATCAAATTAGGTTTTGCCCTTCACCGACGTTTAAACACTGTATACTCAGTGTGTTACCCCCCGAGTGAAAGTTGGAAAAAAATCACTCGGGTGGGACTCGAACCCATATAATTCCATCTTATAATAGTTTATGCAGTACCCGCTGCTATGAACATCAGATTCGAACCAGCCAACCGATCCCGTTAGCTCGTTGGTCGAGTGGTAAGACATCTGCACTAGAAAGCAGGAGGTCGTGGGTTCGAGTCCCACCCGAGTGATTTTTTCCAACTTTCACTCGGGAGGTAACACACTGAGTATACAGTGTTTAAACGTTGGTGAAGGGCAAAACCTAATTTGATAGCATATTGTTATTCCCACTACGCAATGTGCCTCAGGTCCTCTTTCGATCTCTTGCGTTCGGGACGCGGTAGAAACCATTGGATCATTACTAACTCTTAGATTGCTGTATTTTTTTGAGAGATTTTAATGTCTTGGGTGAATGCCGAGGGAATCGTGCACATTGTTTACATTTTATAGCAGGCACATGAAGCTTGTAATTCCTAGCTTGCGCTCACAATTAATTGGTCAATTGTAAAAGACTCTTATAAATCATGTGATCATCTGGCATTTATTTATGCAAGAGAACGTACACATCATCTCTAAAAAAAAAGAAATTCTTTTCTGTCACGCGCAAATGTTGTCCAATCAAAAGTTTTACATGCGAGATAGCAACCAGTCCCCATATTATATGGGAGCTGGAACCAGTCTAACCTTGAGACTGTTCCAGCTGGGAACATCTTGACGGCCTTGACCAGCAACTGGACCTCCTCGTTACTCCAGTTCTTCCCTCCCCCGCTGGATGCCCCGCCCCCTCCTTTACTGGACTGCGCCTCTTGGAGTTTCCTCAGGTCCTCCTGCCTCTCTTTCTCCATCTCAGCGTGCATGCCCGACACCTTAGGGAAGAAAATGATATGCGGTTGCGAAATTAAAGAGTGATCTAAAATCTAATTTCAACTGTGAATTTACATCACACAGACGCAAATTCCATCTTATAAATAGTTTGGTTACAGTACCTGCTGCTACATATCAGATTTGAACCAGCCAGCCAAATCCGGCAAGCTCAGTAGTCATGTGGTAAGACAACTGCGCTAGTAAGCAGGAGGTCGTGGGTTCAAGTCCCACTCACTCAGCTTGTGAATGTTTTCTCACAAGCTCTTGGACAACACTGAGTATACAGTCTTTATGAATAACATTGGTGTAATTTTGAAGAGAGTAAACTGCAAGCCTTGGAATTGCTGAAATGGCAAGACCAATCATGGATTTGCATTTTCATTTTGGTTTTAGAAGACTGACTAACTCATGGAAAGAGAGACTAGTAGACTTCTCAATTATCACTATAACCCTAACCTTCCCAAATCCTCCAAAATCCTCTTTGCAAAATGGGGGATTTTGCAGGATTGATGCTATATGGCAAAAATGTGTGGTTGATTTTGGAGGATGCACTGTGTTATTGGTCTTGGGCTGGAGCTTGTGTTGTTTATGCTCAGCTGTGCATAAAAAAACCTCCGCACTGCTCCAGGATGTGACTGGCTATGCCTCAACATACTGACAGTGATTGCTGGAGGATTTTGCAGGATTCAGGCAGTGGTCACCCCTCCAAGGACCACATTGAAGAAATAACAGAGCATTTTGGAGGATTGAGCCTGTATGCAATTTTTACATGGAGGGAGTTGGAGGATTTTGCAGGATTGAGGTTGCATCCTAGCAAAAATGCCTAGGGAGTTAAGGTTAATCAAATTTAATACCAGACTTGTCTAAGGGTACTATGTGTTTCTTTACACAGATTGACTTTTTTTTTTACCTGTTTAGAGAAGATTTCCGCAGCGGCTGATTGGTCTGCTTTGGACAAGGATTCATTGAGTGACTGCAAGCTGATAAAAAACAACAAGGAACAGTTAATACCAAAGATGAAGTAACAGTCGTTTACAAATTAAGGTTTTGTGGTCACATGATGAAACAGTAAACTGCACAATTCACTTAGTAAGACAGTTGATAAAAGTTTGACGTTAAAGGAAACCCTGAAAAAAAATGAAACATTTAAAAGTCACTCACTTTTGAATCAGATGATGAACAAAAACATTCGGCCCACATTTTATTTGTTTATGGAATAATTCCAAATTTTGAATTATTTGTGGTCCAATAATTAAGTTCTCACAGGTTCGACTGGTGCCTGCCCTCTACCAGAATTGATTATGCAGGGATCAGGGACCAGGCTACTCGCAGGGCGGAGGTTTGTGTGTAAAAGCAAACCAAAATAAAAGGTTTCTTAAGAGAGTTGCAGAAGTCAACAATAAAATTTTCTTTTAAATTGATACATACAAATTGAAAAGTCATCTGGAGGAAAAGATAGAAATTGTAGAAGAGTATGGACAGTACTTCTTTAACCAGTTTGCGGGATTGTTTTTCACGAACCTCGATGCCAGACGGGTTCAGGCCGCCATCTGCAGGTAGCACACCCTGATATTTGCGAGCGGGTCGCTGACAGATATTTCCGGCCTCGCTCTTGCGTGTTTATCCGTCATCCGTTCCGCATACCGCGAAACATTTGCATGTATACACGTCATCATCCATCTAGATGATGACATGGCAGACTGGCTTTCTGCCAGTTTGCCCCTTTAAAGCACCAATCTTGAACAAGTCAGCGACCACACGCACGAAGGAACTTCATCCGATGTGAATTGGTTAAACTCTGTATATTCAGGCTTTTACTGAAGTTACTTACTTGACTGCTGATAATCTATCACAAAGCGTCTCCACGTCTGCCATGTGTGTCACTCTGTCTGCATCTGATTCTGCATAGTACTCATTTTTCTGACCAAAAAAACCAAACAAAAATGATGAGGGTAATTACAATAAGGATGTGGCTAAATATAGCAACAGACACATCAACACAAAAGTCTTTCCCAAAAAAATATAACTGAAACACCTGAATTTTGAAAAAAATCTGAACAAAACAAAAAAAGCATGGTAAGACGTAAAGCCAGAGGTCATGGGTTCGAGTCAAGCTAGTCAAACCCTGGAAGACTGAATTTTTTGCTTGCAGGCTCTCAGATGGCACTAAATATACAATAAATATAGCAATCACGTCAGTGAAGGGCAAAAACATATACCGGCAAACAAAAAAACCTGAAAATTAAAAAAAAAAATTGGATAAACCTCTCTATGTGTCATTCAAAATTTGTGATTAAAAAAAAAGTAAAAAAATTGTATTCCTTACTAAAGCATGGAGTTTATTTCCAGTAACATCTCGTCTTACCTTGCATATATCCCGGAGCATTTTGCGCTCTTTCTTCAGGATTTTCTTGGCCGCTTCTCTTTCCTTCTTAGCTGCCTGAGCCTAAATTTGCAAAGACAAATCCGCTGATGTTATTGCTAAAAAAAATTACGTGGCAAATTTATGTGGCTTCATGATGCCATACATGAAGATGGGTAATTCTGCATATTATGTGATGCGATCAAGCTACATGAGTCGTTTGTGGGGAATTTCCATTTGGAGATACAGGCCAAAATAGGGCCACTTCATCACATCTCTTGGTGTTCCGACTTCCATAATTCTTTAACTAAAGGTGGTATCAGCAAACAGTTTTCACAGCAGTAATGCTGAGATTGTGCTCTTTTCAAATCTGTAATAAAATTTTTTTTGACCGGGGTCGACAAATGACTCATTTAGCTTGATCGCATCACATATGGGTGAATTCTGTTGGTTATTCTGCAGATTTTGAGTTTGATGTCCTCTCCGTGGGGTTGCTGTGCATGTGACCATGGGCAAGATGTTCGTCTCTAATTGTCACTTACTGACAATCCTGTACTGTCCGTGCCATATTCACATTTCACCCTGAAAAAAATGTCAATTGCTACTTTTTCAGCAATACAAAAGGGCAGTTCCACAGTGTATGACGTACATTTCACACAATTCAACTGTGTGCATTATTCATCTAATGTGATTGCTGTATCTTTTGAACAAAAAATCCTAATGAAACCAACTAAAAAGTATTTGGAAGACCACTTATTCTACTCAGCAACACACTAGACACGATTTTGAACAGTACCCCCACTTTTCTGAAAACATGCCTGATTCGAATGTTAGGTTTTTTGTGGGACAACCTGTACAAGTCATGTATGTTAAATCACGAACAGGTGCTTCAGACAACGTTATTCCAAAACGGTTTGTATGTATTTAATACTTTCCTCATTTGGGAAAAATTAACATGCGTCCAATATTGATATTTTAAGATACACAAATAAACGACTAACAAATCAGGCGAACAAGGATTTTTTTGAAGCTTTCAATGAGGCTTATATAACTTCGTGGGATTGCCCAAAAGTAATTCACTTTGGATGAGACATGGAATGGAAAAACTGGCCAAGATTTAGATATGGAACAAATACTTTACAAATTTCGAATTATTTAAGATGAAGATTCTCAACCTTTGCTTTGGCTTCCTCCTCCTCCTTTTCCTTGGCCAATCGCTCTGCCTCCATGGCCTCTCGTTTCTCTCTCTCCTTCTCCATCTGCATGGCTCTGACTGCCTCTTGCTTGGCTTTCTTCTCCGCTGCTTTCTTCTCTTTCTCCTCCTCCTTGAACCGCTTGATTCTCGGGTCGCAGGCGTAGGCGTTATCTGTCGGAGACACAAGGGACCACAATTGAATAATAATAATATTATAATAATAATAATTTGGGTGGCTAATCATCCTTACTCGCAGCTGGTATGCTGAATTGCGAAGGACGCGGCTACGATACACCTGTGTAATATGGACTATCCCAGATGAATCCTTTTTTTAATTTGCTACCCTTGTATTGTAGAGGACTAACAGCCAAGCGAATAGAGCGTGGGTCTACGGAGTGGAAGGTTGGCAGTTCAAATGTCATAGGGACCAAAAACTGGAAAACTCTCTTTGACGAACCCACAGTGAAAACAGTGAAAACAAGTCAGGTGTGTTTACAAACACAAATGCCCCGCAACCGTGACTGTTCCCATGACATAACACCACTCTTTTAACATCAACTTACATGTACCTTGGTCACATGGAACATTCATTGACAGCATTAGTGTCTTCTGTAGGTTTTATATGAATTAATCCCTAATCCCTATAATCTCAGAATAAATACATGATTTCTATTGTTTTAGCCACTGTGAACTTGACCCTTGACCTTTTGGCCCCAAATTCAATAGGCTTCTTAGGATTACCAAGAACAATCCACAAACCAAATTTGAAGTTCATATGTTAAGTATTTCTCAAGTTATCGCGCTGACAAGATTTCTATTGTTTTAGCCACTGTGAACTTGACCCTTGACCTTTTGGCCTCAAATGCAATAGGCTTCTTAGGATTGCCAAGAACAATCCACAAACCAAATTTGAAGTTCACATGTACAGTATTTCTCAAGTTATCGCGCTGACAAGATTTCTATTGTTTTAGCCACTGTGAACTTGACCTTTGGCCTTTTGGCCCCAAATGCAAAAGGCTTCTTAGGATTGCCAAAAACAATCCACAAACCAAATTTGAAGTTCACATGTACAGTATTTCTCAAGTTATCGCGCTGACAAGATTTCTATCGTTTTAGCCACTGTGAACTTGACCTTTGGCCTTTTGGCCCCAAATGCAAAAGGCTTCTTAGGATTACCAAGAACAATCCACAAACCAAATTTGAAGTTCATATGTTAAGTATTTCTCAAGTTATCGCGCTGACAAGATTTGTCCGGACACACACACCCACCCACCCACCAGACACTATTTCTTTACTAGGAGCTAGATGCCCCTTGGACGTTTAAAGATGTCCCTAATGTGTCCGATGTTGGTAATCATGTGCGGTTGGTTCCTCCAAATTACCCCCACCCCCAACTGGAAACCCCACTCACGAATGATACAATGAACGTCTCCACCCACCAACAAGCTGTCTTATTCTAGCCGTTTCCTCCTTCTTTCTACTCTGTCTTGCCGTCTTGTTCTGCCTCTCGATCCAACGTCTCTCCTCCCTGTTTTCTCCTTTCTCTTTCTCCTCCTCATCCAAGTAGGAGAACTCCCTCCAGGAGTCAAAGTCATACCTGTCGATACCAAAACAAAGGTACACAAACTTATTAACTTATCAGTGATGTAATAAACCCATTAACACCTGAATTACATTGTAATAATAATAAAAATGAGAATAATAAACACTAAGGCGCATTTTATCTACGAGACATTCAAAGGTGTCGGTCTAGGTGGAGAAGAGAAAATTAAATGTTTTGTTTGGGATGAAGCGGCCAGTGAGAAAGTGTTTGTTTTGAGCTGCCGTTGAATATGTGTGATGTCATGTTCTTGTCTGAAATAATCCGGAAGTGAGTTCCATAGGCGAGGAGCAATGCTAGACAAAGCTCCATCTCCGTAACTGGCCAGTCGCGGCCGGGGAACAACAAGACTATTCCTGGTTGACCTCAGATCCAACCTGACAGAGCAGGATTGCACTGTGTTTACTCCCTGAAGAGTCCATAACACCATACAGAGCTAGGGTGGTTTGGGGCGCTACAGAGAAGATTTGAAGGTTTTCACAGTGAAGAGAGCAATAAGAGCTAAAAATCCCTTTTGTGAATTGTGAGGTTTACTAATAATTTGGGAGGCTAATCATCCTTACTCGCAGCTGGGATGCTGAATTGCGAAGGACGCAGCTACAACGTGGTCGGGACGCTGGCACGTAAAGGCGCCTATGGCTGCTGGCCACATCGACCCATATATGACCACAGAGCATAGCCTGAGATCGAAAGTGTTTGATTTTTCCGGAGGGAGGAAAACTGGATGGCCTCGTGGCACAGGAGAGAACCAACGTGCAACTCTACTCACATGTGATCCGCGGCCAGGATTCGAACCGTGGTCACCTTGGTGAGAGGCGAGCTCTTTACGCACAAGCCACCCATGCCACCCAAAGGTTTTTAGAGAACTGGGGGGAACTCAATATTTCAAACAGAATGCTGTGTAAGTCACCAAAAATTGTAGAATTTTTCGGAAGGGGTGAGGGGGTATGCAATTAGAAAAGAACTATTTTTTTTTAGGGGAAGGGGAGAACATCTGTTGTGGTTAACATTTAACTTTGTTGAATAATGAGCCATTGTGTCACCTTCTTTTGCAAAGTCTTTTGGCCACACTCACCAAGAATTGTAGAATTTGTTGACCTCTTCAAGTGTTGCCTTTTCATCCCCAAGAAGTGGCACTCTCTTCTTTTTGGACCATCTGCAAAATAAAAAAAACACAATTTTTTGACTCGTCCAAACTGAGATATGTAAATCTCTCGATGGGAGTTTTGTCAATTTTCTTTAAAGCCAGAGTCCATCATTTGCAGCTATCCAAAAAGTGACTGGTGTAATCATTGTTGAAAAACATACTTGGCTGAAAGATAGTAAGGGGACTATGCTCCCTGTGAAATTATTCTTTCTGGCAAGCTGTCATTTTGAAGAAATCAACAAAAGAAGGCCTTTCCGACGGTGCTTCTTAAGAAGCATCCTAGGAAATTCAAATTAGTAGTTCGTTTTGTTATTCGGCGAAGCACGCGCAAGCATTGGCACGACGCACACGCGGTTGCCATAATTCGCCGGATCAGTGCGCGACATCGTGTAGCTGCAATCGGCTCAGTGAGAACGTGTCTCGGACGCTGAATTCAGGCCCAATTCAAAACACGATTCAGCAACTTTCGATTTGAAATCGAGATCCTAGAATGCTGTTTTTTTCTCGGAATATACAGCTGAAGCTGAATTGAAACTTCATCAGGTTAGTTGTTCAGCACCCTTCTTTAAATTTTGAGCACTTTTGTTGCTTCAAACGAACAACATGCAAAAATTACAAATTATGGACTATACCTTTAAACTTGGTACAATCGCGGAATGGGTGCTCATTCTATATTGACATGTGGCAAGGTTTCTAGCTAGAGTGGCCTGGGCCGTGTTTGCATATGAAACAAGATCAGGACAATGATGTCACTTAATGCAAACATGAACATTTCCACGGTTTGAGATTTTCTCCTCCTTAGCCTTAGAGATTCTTGAATCAGCTGTGAGATCTAGTGTCAAGAATCACAGGCAGGCCTGCATGAACCCTTGAACTAAGCATTTCCAGAAGGAACAAACAAAAAAAATCAGAAGGAAAAAGGCCTAATTTACCCCTTCAAAAATGAAATAATAAAAATAATAATAATAATCAGCATTTAAGAACGCTCTTATTAGTAAACTAAATCACAGCGCTTACAGTATTATTCTTACCCCTGATCATTGGGCCAATTAAACATTCCAAATACCATCTCAGATCCCTGGGGTGTATACAGCTCGATGCTGCCTGTTAGGCGCAAGGAAGCTAATTCAATCACAATAACCATCTCTGCTCTCACAGGTACCCATTTACTCCTGGGTGGAAAGAAGCAATGAGTGACAAAGTGCCTTGCCCAAGGGCACATGCACCATAACCCCGGGCTGGACTCGAACCCACAACCCGCAGCTTTACCCACAGACCACGAATTCAATGCCGTTAACCACGAGGCCACGGTACTCCATGGCACTCCACAAATCCCAGTTCTTCATTTGTAATTTTTATTCTTTTATTGTTAGTGTTTGAGAAACCAGGCCTATATTGCAGGGCCACAGGGTGCCAACTTGCCTCTTGCACACTGGTATACGTACATTGCAACAACAATGAACAGAGCATGTGGACCAGCTATTCCTTCACACCCTTCTTTGTTTGATTACAAAGCCCCTCTTGTGTGCTTGTCCATAACACATAAATTCATATATTTTTATCTATTTATTTGTTTGAATTATTTATGCCATGGTTGTGGAAAAGGTCACAAAAACCCACATTAAAATCCACTTCCTAGTACATAATTAAACAGTAAAACTAAAAAAGGAAACCAAAATTTACATAAATAATGCATGTCGTCAAGGATTATCGTTTACCTTGCGTTCCTTTTAAAGACCTTGGTGAATTCCTTGAAGAAGTTCTCTTTGGAGTTGTTGTTGACTGACGGGATGCTGTCGTCAAAGCTCGGATCCACGCTGTCGTACGACCTCCTCTTGGTCCTGTTGCCGAGGGTTTCCCATGCTGACAATCAAACAAATAAATCAAATAAAAACGTGTTTTTAATTACCGTCCGAGCGGGTGAAACAATTTTCTACAAAACTTCTGTCCGAGCTTACTACAGACATCAAAATATTTGGAAAGATTGTGAATTTGATTGAAACTATTCAATTCTATCAAAACATTTGCGATTCTGAGGTATAATGAACGTACTACCCAAAAAGCTTGTTTCGGATAAAGGATTTCCCAGAACAGGTTTAACAAATGTGTGAATTATTAATAATTTTCAAGATATGGAATGAATTTCAGGAATGAAAGTGCCATGGGTTCTTATTAACCCTAACTCCCTAGCATGATTTACTAGGAACCATACCCATCCTGGCAAATTCCAACACCATATAGGAAACTGCACACACATATTTCTGACTTAGTTTCTGGAGATGTGCCAACCCAATGCAAAAGACTGTCAGTTTAGGGGTACTGTACCCATCCTGACAGATTCCAACAAAACATGCCGTTGGGGTTTGATGGGTTGAGTTCTGTTACGGTTAAGGTTTGGGATCAGTTAGCTATTCGCTATGTCCTAAATAGGCTAGCAACACATTCTTTACTGTTGCCGTATGGTTTCATTGTAGGGGATGGGGCTAGAAATGGGAAACTTGAAAAGAGGGTGAAGTTTGTACGAAGGATACAGGGAAATATTGCATAAGGAGCTGACAAGAAACGGAGTGGAGATAAGGAAAGAGTCACGGGAAGACATGAGCAAGAAATACACAGGAAGGGAGTACGGGTCGGGTGGGCGTAGAGGGTGGGGGTGGGGGCGAGGGTGAGGGTGGGTGTGAGGGTGGGGTTGGGGGCAGGGAGTGGGGGTGGGGGTAGGGGATAGGGAGTTGGGGTAGGGGGTAGGGAGTAGGAGTGGGGGTGGTGGTAGGGAGTGGTGTGATAAGAGTTTGGGGTGGGGGTGAAGGTGGGGGTGGAGAGAAGGTTTGGGTTGGGTAGGGTGGAGGGAATAGAGGTTTAAATGAAGGCTACGTACGAGGGGAAAGTGGCCGCACAACAACAAATGTTGTTTCTCTTACCTCTGGTGATGCAAGTGAAGTAGTCATCATCTCCGCTTTGTCTTGGCTTGGACACTCCATCTTTGGGCTTTCTCTTATCCGGATGATGCTTCAGGACCATTCGTTTGTCTATTGTTGCAAGAACAGGAGAGACATTTTTAGATGCCGCCAATTTTTTTCTACATCACCAACCATCACAGCTCTCAGTATTAAAGTATGGCTATGTCCGAATTTCTTGACTATGGCTGCCAATAACATATGTGCCAATGGAAGAGGCTGAGTCTACTGCTGGCCATAGCCATAGCCTAGTAAGGCCGAAAAAAAAAAAATTCTGCTTCCGATTAAATGCCTTTCAAAAATAGGGTCGGTCGGTCGGATATATTTTTTTTTGGTCCAATTTTTTTTATGCAGATTGAATGGGGTATTCAATTATATGCGAAGTTTCAGCCTGAACTATTTCCATTGCACTACGAAAGCTATACACAAAATGGCCACAAAAAGTGAATAAAACCTACCTTAATTATTGTCCATATGTTTACGTTCAATAATTCTTAAAAAATAATGGAAAATTCAGGCCGTTTGCATCATATGCACAACGCTAGTCAAGACGGGAAGCTGGCCAAAACTCTGAAGTGTGTGATGCACTGTGCATGTGTGGCCCGCGGCCAACAGACCTCGTTTTTACAGTCGAACATTAGTGCGATCTAAAAATGAACTCTTGAACACGGAAAATTCATACACAGACAAGCTATATCAATTCTGTGAATTAACTTGCAAAAATATTCTTTCTCCATCGGTGTTTTCTTGGCATTTTTACGATGTCGAATCCGACCAGTTGACAGTGCACGTGCCTTTCAATGCATAGCCATGCTAGCACTATCGACTGCATAGCCATGACAGACTGGTTACCGCATTTTCATCGTGTCTTCTAAATTGGCCCCTGCGCGGCGCGGCGGGAACCAGTCGTCGCTGCATTGAGCTAGGTTTACGCACGTGATTAAAGTCACCGTGACATCGAATTGCGAAGTAGTTTTATCGCGAAGCAAATTTGTAAAAATAACGGAGGTTTCTTTTGAAAAAATAGCGAATGTAAGTAAGAAAACAAATAAATACAAGCATTTTTTTTTTACGCAAAACGGTTGTTGAGAGGTATTTTGTGAAGACAGGAAAGACAACAGGTTTTTATTTTTATTTATTCAATCATTATTTTTTTTTTTTTTTTGAATTGCCGATAAATTTTTTTAGGGTCGCAGCCTAAAAATAGGGTCAGTCGGGTAACCGGAAGCAGAAGTATATTTATTTTGGCCTAATTCAGATGTAGCCTATGCTTGAACTAATTGAAAATGCCCTAAACTGTAAAATGTTGACAATGACAGTCACTCATAAGACCAATAGCACTCCTTGCTGAGCACACTAAACAGGGCCCAATTTGGAACCAGCTTTTGAATATGTTTAAATATGCTAATCACCATCTTCTTTCTTACGTGGCCTATAAAATGGTTTGCATTAATTTGCTATAACAGATTCTAAGTAGCAGGTGACTCTTTTTTCTCAAGGTAACAGTAACTTCAGCATTCCTCTGTTTATGAAAACAGATGAGCGATTCAAGTAAAATAACCTGCTCAAGGACACAATCATCGTTCCCTGACTGACTTTGAATTTGAACCCCTATTTCTACCAGTTCTGTTACCAAAAGGAAAACGTGATCTCCGAGTCAACCACAACTGAACTATCCTTCTTTGTACATAAATGTCATAAACAAGTTTGCACAATATTTTACGGCAGATTTTACTGATAGGATCATTGTGAAGTAACCAACGCTGAGCTGTGTATTCCACAATCTTGCAAAAAAGAACGATTTGGGAGTGTTGGGGGTGTCAATGAAACAACTTACAGGCTCGTTTAATGTCATCAGCTGTGGCCTCCGTTCTGACTTTGGACAGTCCCAGGACTGCATAGTGGTCCTGATTCTGTGGATCAAAAAAATAAGCAAAATTATCCATACAATTGTTCACAAATAAAGACATAGGCCTAAACTCTGACAGTTTCATACATCATACCTGGATAGATTTTCTTCTTAAGTCTGAAGCTATAAGCATTGAATTCTGCTCTGGTTGTAATACAGAATTTGGCACCCACTGACACCCTGATTAAAGAAAAAGACATATTTCCTTGGTATTTCACCAGCCAAGATTGGAGTTGAAGAATTTTTTACTTCAGCATTTTGCACAACAGATTGATGCCAAGGTTTTTAAGAGATGGTGCATTTTAATAACTGTCTGGGAGCATTGCTATAAAGAATGCACGGAAATAGGGACTAGGTAAAAGGTTCTTTAAACATACTCTTGTCACGCAGTACTACATCAGTGTTAAAGTGATTAATTTACAAGCCACTCATTTTTTGGGAGCCATGTTTCCACTAGTTATAGTTTCTGATTAAAGGGAATATACATCATCTGCTTTTGCTGTAATTTTCAGAAATGGATGGAATTGGGGGGTTGGAAATATATAGCAAATATAGATACACTGACTTTTTTGAGGTTTTGGGTTCGAAAATGCTATAAAAACCAAGAAAAACGATCATTTTCCTGTAGTCTGGTTCCCTGACTCCATATAAGAAGAAACAGAGCAGTTTACATACATTGGGGAATTGTAAGGTCAGGGAACCAGTCTAGCTGGCTCGTACCTGTTCATAGGTTTGTAATGGATTGCAAACAAGTGCGATGGTCAATTGGGGCCAGTATTTGAAAAAAAGCCAGTTGTTTCCAACGCTGATCGGCCGATCAGCGTTGGAAATTGATACAAAAATACCACTTTTCTTGAAAATGACTGTATACCAGATGCCATGATTTTACAGGATGCTTTACACTGTCATTCACTAACAGTCCAGCTAGGTATTTCAAAATGATTTGGTAGTTTTATTTTTTGATGTTTGCAAATGTTGTATTTTCCCTTTAACAAATACACAATACTGAGTGTCTTAATTTTAGGAATACAGGCTGTTTGGTTGGAGGGGGAGGTAAAAGGGGACGTGGGAAGGGGATGAAGGGGGGGGGGGGGGAAGGGGGTCCCTTACCTTACCTTCATCCCAGCTTGGACATCATCTCTGGCTCCAAAACAATTATAAAGTCTTTTAATGTCAAAACCAAATGAAACCTCGGATTTACTCTAACTTTGGTTACATATCCTTATAATGTGATCAAGGCACAAACTATAGCCTGTGAAACTATAGCCAGACGAACCCGAAGCTGGTGACAAAAACCGATGCTTCACAAACACCCGTACCTTCCATTCCTTTGGGTCAAGGGTCAGCAGCATGGAGTCATCCTCATCATACTCCAGGTCATCATCCGAGCTGTCCGAGGAGGAATCGGACCCCAGCGAGCCGGAGGTGTGGGACAGATTGTGGTGGTGGTGACGTCTGTGTAGATGGGCCTCGAACCAACGTCCAACTGGCTCGACTCTGACAGTAACAGCGGCTGCATGGGGTGAAACAAGACAAACTTGAACGAAAACATTCAAAATGCAGCATGCACTGTTTAGGGCTTTGCCGAATATACCAAATATTCCGATCATCTACCAAATATCCGAATTGCAATTTTTTTTTCAATCCAGTATTTGAAAAATGTGAATGGTCTCAAGGAGATGCTGAAAAACGTCCAAAACATTATTTTAATCGTATACGTTGCGTGGCTTTATTCTTTGTCAAAGACCTCCTTTTTGGAAAGAAAGTAGGGGCTTATTTATAATAGCATGGAGCTATAAAAAGTATCCAGACGCCACTTTTTGGTTGTGTACAACTACAATGTGTATGGAGAGTCGAGTACATTTTCAAAGTATTTTCTAACAAAACTGGGAAATATATCTCAGTCCCAGATTCATGTCTTTTCAACATGTCATAGGCCTATTTGCAATGACTGACCTCCAAAAAGAGTCCAATGACTGAGATAATATTGGTCAGTCATTCAACACTCTTTCAAGCGATTTTACTTATATTGAAATACAATACAATAAATACAGGGAAAGGTTTCTGTCAGCTTACTGAAATCAAATTTGGACAAAGCTCGAGTCCTGCCCCCCCCCCCCCCCCCAGCCCACACCCCCACCCCATTGACTGTGTCATTATCAATTGTCTCATCATGCTCATTGAATTTGTGGCTGGGTGGCATAAACACTAATCTAAACAGTATATTCACCTACCTGACAAAGAGCCGAAAACCTTTGTTTTAAGACCATCAGGAGAACAAGGGGGTAATGAAGTTACACCTGTCATTTTTTACGTTTAGCTTGATTTGTATACCCGAACTATGAACTACAAAGTTTATTGCAAAGTGGCACATTTGCGGACGGCGCACCGCATGTGCTGTATAGCGCCCTCTGTTTAAATCTTTTCCATTTCATGTACAGTCAGGTTCCCTATCCCTCTAATCCCCCATGTCATTATAATTTTGCAGCAACCAGACTGTTCAATAATGTCATGACTACACACGTAAACCATATAATTGATTAGTTTTTGACTGATGATTGATCGTGATGAAGGCTGAATTTTATATGAAATTTGACAAATAAGTCGACTTTTTTTGTAAGTATATATTAGACTTTATATTGTGAGGTGTAAACAACATGTTGTCTACTTATGTTAGTACAATAAGATTGATATCACAGTTTGAGAGATTTCCAAATTTTCTGATGCTCAACGACTTAAGCGCTTCCGCGACAACCTGCTGAATCTGAATCTGAGGTCGCTCAATACAGACAACAGTGGTCAACTCAACTTTCATGTCTTCTTTGTTCTGGAGTTCTGCAAATGCTCAGTCTCAACCGCATGCCTATGTACAAGATTTAATCTCGTTTGTATTCATAACTCATGTAAACCAATGTGAAACTGAAAGGTTGTTGAGGTTTAGTTTACACTTAAGAAATTTGCTTTTCTAATTTCTTCCTTGAAATTTGAATAAAAGTTTACTTTGATTAAATCGTCATAATCATGTAAATATAACAAAGTGTTTTTAACATGTTTAAAGAACCGCGAACTGGCCCCACATTTTTTTCTGTTTTTGTGCTGGCATTTCCTCTGTGCATGCATTATAAGATAACAAATTACATCATCCAACCAAGCGAACGTGTCGTGTTGCTTACACTTACACTTACAACATTTCAGATTGATTGGTGTAATTGATGGGTTTCAGCCTTTAGTTTTTCATTTTGCCTGATGTATGAGTTTTCCTTCTTTATTATTTTAAAGCAAATCCTACATTTAATTGCAGAAAAGTTTGGCGTCATTTTCTGATTTGTAGCTTTGGAGAATTTTGTTTAACTTTAAGGGAAGTAACATTTAAAATTGCTACTTAGCAATTTTAAATGTTACTTCCCTTAAACAAAATTCTCCAGGTCTGATTCCCGTCTCGAAGTCAGAATGACAGTTTAAGCTTAATCACACTTAGTAATTTCTAATTTCCAAAAAAATCCACCGCGTACAATGTAGGTTCAGTGCACTGTACACAAGCAAAAACAATCAGGAACCAGTTCACAGTCAAATATACACTGCCTTTTAATAAATTGTGCCATTGTCCTTGTACTGCTAATGTAAAAAGACTTAAAAGGAACATTACTGTTACCCACCAACCCTAAACTTGTCTAGCATCACAAATATTACTGTGGTTTTTAATCTTAAGGCATACATTTTTTTCCTCCAGAACTGAATGAATAATTTAGTGTTCAGTAGTTTGTAGCTGTTAAAATTCATTGTGACTTCTGCTACTTATGTTTATTTCACTTTTGTTTTCAATACATGTAGGTTGTTTGTGGAAGTTATGGGCAGTCATCTTACTTAACATGAACACAGGATTGGGATGGCACAGGCTATAAGCTGAAGCAGAGACGTTTCATACCCATTTTTCGGAGCGCTCAGTAGGCCTACTTCAAATAAAATTAGCATGATGAACAACTCTGCATAGTGCACGACGGCAAGTGAACAGTGACAGTGACAACACACGATGGAACTTGATCTTAATATTGAAGTCTCAAAAAGTTTTCAGCAACACGAACACTGAATGTGTTGGACAGCACCATGATGGCTTTACCGGACCCAAACAAGCAGACTTTCCCCGTCATTCCGAACCCTATGCAATTCTTCGTCAGTCCCAACTGCCCCTCGCCAACCAAGACCACCGATTCCAGCGCCTTGTCCCTGAAACACTCCGCCATCCAACTTCCGGCTCTGGTCCATTCAGGAGAAGGGGACGGCCACAAGGAAACGGCACAGCAAAATGCAACAGCTCTATCTCTGCCGAAGGTCAGATGATAAGCACACTCTTCTTCATGTCTTTGTTATATTTCAACTGTAGCAACTGTCCCAAATTATAGTTGGGGCACTCCAAGTCATTAAAGCTATAGTCCATCATTTGCAACTATCCAAAAAGTAACTGATGTAATTATTGTTGACAAACATACTTGGTTGAAAGATAGTAAGGGGACTAAACTCCCTGTGAAATTATTCTCTCTGGCAAGCTGTTATTTTGAAGAAATCAACGAAAGAAGGCCTTTCCAACGGTGCTTCTTAAGAAGCACCGTAGGAAATTCAAATTAGTAGTTTGTTTTGTTATTCAGCAAAGCGCGCGCAAGCATTGGCACGACGCACATGCGCGCGCAATTGCTGTAATTTGTCGGATCAGTGCGCGACATCGCGTAGCTGCAATCGGCTCAGTGAGAACATGTCTCGGACGCTGGATTCAGGCACAATTCAAAACATGATTCAGCAACTTTTGATTTGAAATTGAGATCCTAGAATGCTGTTTTTCTCGGAATATACAGCTGAAGCTGAGCTGAAACTTCATCAGGTTAGTTGTGCAGCATCCTTCTTCGGATATTGAGCACTTTTGTTGCTTCAACGAACAAAATGCACAATTTACAAATGATGGACTATACTTTTAAACAAACATTTCAGATCATGTAAACAAGGCATGACAAATTTTATAGTGCCAGTTTCATCAATCTTGGGTGAGATCGACGGAGAGATCGAAATGCCATACAAATAAATACTCACTTTCAGAATCTGCCACTTCCAACTTGGTGTCCTCCAATGTCGATACAGCGCTGGAGACGGTGGCGGAAGGCGCGTGCTGCGGCAGAAAGCTTCTGAAGGAATGCAGGATCACCCCTGATGTCATTGCACACCTCGATCGTTTGGTGCAATAACATCAGGGTTGATCCTGCATTCCTTCAGAAGCTTTCGGCCGCAGCATGCACCTTCCGCCACCGTCTCCAGCGCTGTATCAACATTCTGAAAGTGAGTATTTTTTTCGTACGGCATTTTAGTCTCACCCTCTTTCACAAAGCTGACGAAACTTGCTCGATAAAATTTGTCATGCCTTGTTTACGTGCTCTGAAATTTTGATTTAATTCCATCGGTAAACTACAATGTTCCTAAGACTAGATAAGTTTGCGGTAGCACCATGTGAATAAATCTCTTTTGTGAGTATGTGTGGTTCTGAAAGGAACCGGAGGGACTCAACGTTTCAAACAGTATGCTCTGCCCGTCGTCAGGAGAATGAGGGATTCCAACGATGATGCAATGTTATAAGGATGGGTGCTGACGACGGGCAGAACATACTGTTCGAAACGTTGAGTCCCTCCGGTTCTTTTCAGAACCACACATACTCACAAAAGAGATTTATTCACGTGGTGCTACTGCAAACTTATCTTGTCTTAGTATCTTTCCACCATGCAAACCTTCAAATCTCAAACTACAAAGTTATTTAGGATCAAAAGTAGGACATGTTTTTCTTTTGACACGTAGTAGCTGTTAGTGGTGCATTCTTTAAGATGTACAAGTCGTACCTAAAATCCCATATGTTTTCAATTTTTGCCATAGAGAAGTAAAGTGGTCACTAACCAATTTTTAATTTTTTTTTGTACTTTCTTTTAACTAAAGCTCATTTCACTTTCTTCCCAGGTCAAGAAAACTATTCCAATGAAGAAGGCAGCGCCCTCTCACATGAGAGGAAACAGAATCCCGGAGAATTTCCGGGAGGTCTCAGCCGAACCCATGCCGTACCAATGCCAGTTCTTTCGGTAAGATTGGCCTCTTCCCTGAAAATATCTGACTGATGGGTCTCCTATACCCTAGGTCCTCAGCTACCACCTTAGACTGATGGGTCTCCTATACCCTAGGTCCTCCCTCTACTGACACTGCAACCCCACTGTTCCACTTCAGTGGGCACCAAGCTTGTTCTAGGATCCTGTCTACTTGGCATCCTCACAGGATGCAACTTCTCACTTCATTGAATTCGCCTTTGGCTACTTAAGTATTCACTTTCTTAGAGTTTAGGCACTCTCCTGAAGACGGTCAGAGCATACTGACCGGAACGTCGAGTTTATACCTCTGGTTCTTTTCAGAACCATTCTCTTAGTTGAGAAATTATTCGCACATGGTGTTTCCGCAAACCTTTCAATATTTAGTATCTCCACCATGCAAAGCCTCAAATCTTACTTGTATAGTGTTTGTCATTAGGCTTGTGCAGTATCAGATTATGAGAGTCCATGGTGTATCGTCACAAAAATATTGCAGTAGTTGGTATTTAACATTTGTTGTCTGCTGTGATGTGGGGTATGACGTTTTTAACACCAGAGGGGCGCACCCGAGGCAAAATTTGTCATATCGTGCCAAAAAGTCAAACAGAAAAATGGTTGTAACTTACTGTGTGAACAAAAAATTAAATCACTGCGATGTAACCTTTGATGACTGAAGGTTTTGATGTCCTGCTGGACATGAGGCTGAGCGGTTGACGTTGCAGTTCTCATTGCGTGAAGCTAGCACGCCGGCAGGTTCCACACGCACACAACGCGCATAGTGAATGCAGTGCGATATCACTGATCTGTACGTAAAAATGTATATCAGTGTGTGACATGCATTATTATTGTCCAGACACGTGGCCGTTCTAGACCAATGAAACTACACTATCCAAGCACACGATATAACAATATTATTTATATCAGGCTTCCAGTGGTAAAAACAAATCAGCGTATTGTGTGCTTTCTTAAAAAGTACCCAGATGACTGCAATATTATGTCAGTAAAAGTACCCGGATGAAGACATTATTATTTTTGATATTGTCCTCATCTGGGCAACAATTTTGGCTGGTTCTTGCACAGTCAAGAGTGCAGAAACTCACATTTGTCAACAAGTCAACAAAGCATAGCGCGCGGTACTGTCGAACGGGGACGCATTGCGCAGAAGGGTATACGCTCAATGTTATCAACAATCACAAATGGGAGCTTCCAGTGGTGCAAAATTTTCTTCGGTATTGGCGAAGGATATAAGACAAAATTTGAGAAATGATGACAGCGTCCAGAAATTTCTGCTGTAGTTTTAAGTTGGTTACATGCCATAGCTTTAAGTTTTACAATGTATTATCTTTCAAAGTTGTACCTTTTCACTATTGAACTGTACTTTATTGCAGATCAACAACAAAGGTGCAGTCTGTGCCAGTGACCAAGCGACACCGAGACATGTTCAGCGCCGCAGCCAGATCCAAGCCAGGTCCCCTTGCCAAGACTAAGAACATGTCCTTCCACACCAAGCCTTTCCTGTGGCAGGCAAAGGAGAAGGCAGGTAACCAGATTGAGTAAGTACATTTTTCCTGGTTCCAGGGCCCCAATTCACAGCCCTTATCTTCCCGTTCGAGAAACATCCCAGCTTACAGTAGCAGAATTTTCCGTGCTTGCGGTCAGCATATTTCACAGGTTTGCAAGGAATTTTGGCTTATTCACATAATTAAGTAAGTGAGGAGTCTGTGCTTACAGGGTTAGCGCAGGATTTTTCTGCTAGCCCTGTTGGCACAGAATGATGATTGTGTTAGGTGCGGAATTCTGTGGTTAGCAGAGCCATGAAATTGGGCCACGGTCTCGAAGGGCCAGCCTAGAGCAAGTTCGCGCAAGAACTATTGTTAACCACAGTTCAACTAAGTTAGCCCGAACTCGTCTAGTCGACGATGGTTGGACTACGCTAGTCGACTATTCAGGACAAGCCTGCCGCGGCTGGTCGCGCCACGATTTATAGCTGGTTATCAATAGCAATTTCCATAGCATAGCGCAGAGGGGACCAACTATCAACAAAAAATGGCAGAAAACGAAACTGTGAGCGCTAAATTTCATTTTCATTGCACAGCTTTTCCATGTTAGTTTACGATTATGTCACTTTTGTCACCATTGTGCAATAATATTGGCGATTATGTAAGATGTCTTAAACTATACGCAATCACTTTTATTTGTGTAAATAAAGAGAAACAACAAGTGCTGAATAATAATGTGCGACCGCCATTTTCTGACAGTCGTTGACATGACAATAGTTGGACTAGAGTCGTTCGCATTTCAACTTCAGTGCGCATGCGCTAGGCACGTCACAAACCAACTACTAGTTAACCACTGGTCCTTGCTCCATGTGTGTTCCTTGTACCTATCTCACTGACTTGCTTACTGGCTGGCAATAAGCATAAGAGCTATATTAAATTACTAGAGCGCTGACTCATATGTACAAAGTGTAGCCCAGGTGGACTCCCTTTCCTCCCTACGTAACGGAGGGAGTCCAGGGTATGAAGTGCTCAAAACCGGGCGAAAAAATTTATGACCAATATTTTTAATATTTTTACCTTGTTGGAGAAGCCAATTTTTACGTCGTAGTAGGCCCTATTCTATGTGTCCTTATCTATTGGGCCGCTGGGTTCAGAAATTCCATATGCGATGCTGACCGACCTTAATCTGGAAAATAAACTCGAAAGCAACGTTAAACTTGTACGTGTTTGTAGACTCTTTTCATCAGTTTCTCACCGCCGAGTCTATTCTAGTCGTACATGATGTATATGTACGTCTGTGCAGCGTGTAGTCTGGTTCCCTAGACCGGACAATTATTCTCGACGCTCATATCACGTCTGGTCCGGGGGCCAGACTATGCAGCATGAATATGCAGTGTGCACGCGCGATTTGCTTAGTAACCACCCTCATACGCACGTGCACTTACTTGAAGGCGCGGTCGCTAATCCAATGACCGAGCGTGTTTTCGCGCCAGGTACCAGAAACACGTTTTGGCTTTGGTCGTTGGTTAAGCGTTTTGGAGTGACGTCACGGTTCCAACCAAAACTAAACAAATGAGGGCGCTAGCGTGCGTGCGCGCTTTCGTACGCACGTACATTGTACATGACGTACGACTCTGGGAATAAACTGATGAAAAGAGACTACAAACACGTACAAGTTTAACGCTGCTTTAGAGTTTTTTTTCCTGATTAATGTCGGTCAGCATCACATATGGAATTCCTGAACCCAGCGGCCCAATAGGTAAGGACACATAGAAAATGTAGGCGTGAAATAAGCTTCTGTAACGAGGTAAAACGTAACAAAAATCTGGTCCAAATTTTGGGTGGTCTTATGTAGAGAATTTTCGCCCTGGACGTTAGTCGTAATGCAATGAAGACTTCGTCCAACCTGGGCTAGTACAAAGTGATGCCTGCTGGGCGCATCCATGTTTGTACACAAACCTATGGAGAACTCGAAATTTTGTACGACTTTTGTACGACTATACATTCATATCTGCATTTGTATTCCATACCGGTGGGTTATCGAAGCCGATATGCCCAAAACCGAAATGCACGATCAGCAAATGAGCGTGTCATTTTGCTCTACGCAAACAGCGCAATGCGTGTGCGTATCCGTTGCAGATGATTAATCGTACTTGCACATTGCATGTAGAGTACACTTTCAAAATTCACTCCATCTAATTTCATTGTGTTCTACAAACACGCACATGAATTCAGAATGTCTGGCCCAGAGCGGCTTCAAAGCATCTCCGTGGGCAAGAATAGGGAGTTAGCGCTCTAGTAATTTAATGTAGCTCTATGGCAATAACACACACGTCTATGGGAAGCAGCTGCGGTGCAGGGATAGCAACTCTCAAACTGTTTTTTATGTCTCCTTAAATCTGAATGTCAGAATGACGAGTCTTCCCTCGCGATTTCTGGAAGAGGAGGAGAATCTGCGAGAGGTCAGAGGGCAGAAGAGGAAACATGGCGTCCCATCACATCGTCAGGGTTACAATGATCTCTACGTGGGAGGAAACACACCTAATATTGCTCAGAAGTAAGAAAGAACATTAATTATTATATTTGAAACAATACCATGAACGATGAAATTTTGCATTTGAGAAATGCAATGACGTCAGTGCGGGGAAAATGTTCACACGAGGCTTCCAAGTACTGCTATTTTTAGTGAACACAATAAAAAGGTGCTATTTGGAGTGGCTAATTTTGTGTAAATGTTTGACTTCAGCTTTTCTTTCAAATTGTAAATATAATTTAGGCACAATACACTTGTGTACATGTATACCTGCATACCTCAAATTCCAGGTCTAAATGTCAGAGTCTCTTACGTACTTGCACATTGTTTTTTCTTTAATGATCAGGTTCGACTACAAGACAGAAGCCGACAATGTACGACACATGGTCTTGCCAGAGAATGCTCAGGAGCTGTACATGGGACGTGGAATCAGACTACCAGAGTAAGCATGAAATACTAACATACTCATTCATTTCCTTTATATTTGTTTTTTTTTAACTTATATTCAACAAAATTTATTATATTCAACAAAATTTGTTATATTAATTGTTCATGTTATCAATATTGATTGTTCATGTAATCAAAAGCCTTGTGGTCTGCGGATCTGGGTAATTCTGCTGGTTGTGGGTTCGATTCCTGCCTGGGGTTGTAGTGCGTGTGCTCTTGGGAAAGGCACTTTGTCAATCATTGCTTCTCCCCACCTAGGAGTAAATTGGGTACCTGTGAGGGCAGAGATGGTTATTGTGATTGATTGTAGCTGCTCTGTGTCGAAATGGCAGCATCGAGCTGTATACTCCCCAGGGAGCTGAGATGGTATTTGGAATGTTTCATTGGTCCAATGATTAGGGGTAATAATAATGTAAAGCGCTTTGATCTTAGTTAAAAGCGCTATGTAAGAACCCATTATTATTATTATTAATGTGTTCAAACCTCTTTAAAAATAGCAGTACTTGGAAGCCTCATATTAAAATTTCCCCTCACTTAATACGTAATTGCATTTACCCAATGCAAAATTTCAGGATTCATGGTATTATTTGAAGTGATGTATACGATACGTTTGGGCGAGCGTCGACAAATGGTTAGGGTTTGTAAGTTGTGATGGAAGGGTCACAGGGTTTGAATGTAATTACTGGCTATGCATCGTGTTCCTGGGCAAGCTACTTTACCACAACGCTTTTTTTTTTTCTTTTGGTTATTTGCAGGGATCATTCTCTAAACAGAAGAAGAAAAGACTGGAAAGCCAAGATAGATGCCGAATACGCCCTTCCGAGTTCAGCACCCGCTGTTGCAACAGAACCATCCACAACAACAGCAACAGCAGCAGCAGCTGTCGACTCGACGCGAGCAGCAAGACCGGAGGCACAGCCAAGCCCAAAAACTAGGTATACCACCAGTCATCCCCAACCCAAAGCAACCCGCTCCCATTCCATCACCCATCACGATGCTGACTCTCGTAGTAGCGTAGCTAGCGAGCGATCCGTTGCCAGCCGGAAACTGGAACGGAGGAAGTCCCAAGCAGAAGGGGCGAGGCGAAACTCGGAAGCGTCGAGGAGGGGGAGTAACGCCAGCAAGGGGCAGAAGGAGCCGCCAAAACATGAGGAGGAAAAAGTTGCTGAGCATCCACAACAAGCAGTGGAGTGAGTTCTCATGTTGCTTTTTGTAGTCGGCAAATATTTAGAGCAAGATTGTGTAGCTGGAGATGTGGAAATGCTGTAGTTTTCACCCCATCATGAGTCAAGGCCTGTTCATACTCGGTGCGAAGGTAAATGCGAATTTGTGACATCAGGGCAAATTTTTGCGCTGCAAATTTGCAAAAGTTGAACACATTCCAACTCCCGCAAATTTCGCAGCTAATGCTTCGTGACGTCAAATTCGCATCGCATTCGCATGAAGTATGAACTGGTCTTTATGAGAACGCAGATGTTTTCTCAGCGTGCTTTTTTTTTTTTACCTTTGCTCCAAAAACAGGGAACTAGATTGGTGCTGTATAATTTGCCTCATGTCCATATTTTCCTTAGACTTTCTTGATACTGTGGGATGAGCAGTTTGCTGTTGTGATTATAAAAAAAAAATCATTCAGTACATTATGGGAAAACAGTAGCCAAATGCACACCAAACAGTTTTCCCGTTGCACCAGCGCATGGCGGTTTTACAGTTTTGGGTGCATGTGACTTAATTGAGATATTTTTGGTTCTAATGATGTGCTTATTTGCCAGGTATTCAAATGCATGTACCGTAATTTTCGGAATATAAGCCGCGCGGCGTATAAGCCGCAGCACGCAAAAATCTGCAAATTAAGATTTGAAGTCGGCGTATAAGCCGCACCGGCGTATAAGCCGCACCGACGGCAGCGGTTTCAATTTTCTAAGGCCTCCAAATTCTAGCCAAAATGCTCTAAACCAGTTCCATTTACACTACAGAGCTATAAAAAGGGCCACAAAAGTTGTATCAAATCATTTACAATCGATACTCTCACAAACAAATGTGGAAATTGATGAAGAGAAATAAACACCGGGAATTGCTGCCGGCTGCCCCGTCCGGTCCCCGGCCGTAAAAGTTAATACATCGCCCGGCGCGGCAGCCTGCGCCGGTCTATGACAACATTTTCCTGCAGCACGTGAGAGATGCAACCCACCGTGATTTTCCCCCATTGCGTGTGTTGTGTGACTGCAGCGCTACGTACAAATCTTGCTTTGTGGCAACAGATGCTGATTTGTTTTGTCCTAAAAATATACAGGTCCGTTTTTATCTCAAAACTTATCAAATTTTTGTGATAACTAACGAGCAGTATTCAAGTTTCGATCGTAACTTTCTTCGAAAATAGTCAAAACGATGTTGCCATTTTCATGGACGAATCCATTAATTTTGTAAGGGGTGATGTAGTCCCTGTTTTGAGGTTTACATCGTTTCTTGAATACAATTCAAGTACAAAAATTATATTGTGACGTTGAACAACTGATTATCGAATAAAGAAATGTTTCGGACACCATAAAAAGTACTAGTCGTCTTTTTTCTTTTTTTAAACAGCGGAAATGTTGGTAATTATTGTTTCCAAGATAGTACACCCCTATATTACCTCAAATGGTGTGGTCCGCTGGGGAAAGCATGCTGCATGCTGCATCACTAGAATCACGTACGGCTTGTTGCAAGCGTCGATCGAAGACAACTTTCACCGTACTTTTTACCGCTCGGCACCTTTACGTGGGACGTGGTTTCGGTTCGTTAATGACTTTCTTAATTGATAATTCATTTCAGCAACATATCTCTTCTTAAACCAGTACATGTACATTAAATACACATGTGAATTTCATTTTTATTCTTCAAGGCTCGGCGTATAAGCCGCCCTGTGTATAAGCCGCAGTAAACATTTTCATGGGCAAAATCAACGTATAAGCCGCGGCTTATATTCCGAAAATTACGGTATGTTTGTGTCCGAGTTATTTAAAAATGACTCGGACTTGACACTTTGTACTCAGATTTTGGACTTTGACTCAGTGACTCAATGCTAGTGACTTGAACTGGACAGCATTATGACAAACTTGCTCTTTTTGAAATTGAAAATTTCATATTTTTTCTTGCAAATTAATAGTTGTTTGATTGAAACAATCAATTTTTTTTATTAAAATTGTTCCACGCATCTTCTGTAGTTGCGCAACCATTGCAAATTAATACCCATGTTGCGGACACTGTGTCAGTCTCTAAATGTACAAGCCCAAATGAAAACAATGTGCTTCTGTTTTGTGTCATGATTTTTGCGAGTTTTTGTGAGTGACTCGGACTTGTACTCGAAATTTTATGACTTGTGACTCAGACTCGGACTCAACACTGATGACTCGGGCTCTGATGAGGCGGACTTGAGGTGATAGTCAACTGCAGGATAATATTATGGGTCACTCTAAAATTTAGTGTCCAACTGTGACATTTATCCTGTATCTGTTACCTTGGTACTTCAGAATTTGCCATTCAAGTATCATTAAAAAGACTTCAAGTTTTTTGTATTTGTTGGGTAGGTAGTTTGCTATTCATAATCACTCTCGGAGGACGACTGCATTAAGGAGTGCATCGGAATTATAAAAAAATCATAGATGTGAGAATTTTAAACAGGGACAGGAAAAAAAAGTGGACCCCAAATTTTTAGAATGACCTGTATGTCAACTGTTAATTTTGAAAGGTTGCCTTTTTTTTCAGCTGAATGCTTTTTGGCACGCTGTATTGTGAGTTGTTCCTTTTAATTTTGCTATTCTTTTCTCCATCAGAGCCGAGGTGACTGTCCCTGATGCGGATGATGAGGTTGACATGGAGAGAGAAGAGGAAGACTTAGCGGACGTCTCCACCGCAGTGGAAGTCCAGACCATCCCGGAGGAAAGCAAAGAGGAGGAAGACACAGCTGGAACAGTGGAAGAAAACAGGTTGGAATAGACTGTTTTATATTGGGCCATAAGGCCCAAAAAAGTCTCCGGTTTCTGGTATGGAGCTTTCCCCAAAAGTGGTGCGGTGACGCGGTTTTTTTTTTACCCCCTACTTTTTTTTCTTCAAATGTCGGCTGATGTTACAGATGACTCTTCGATCCCCTTAAAACTCTCAAAAATATCCTTCAGGGTGGAGCTTGAGGTGACATCAGTAAGGCCATAAGGCTTGAGAATTCTGCACCCACTTATGATCTTGACCAACACGAACATTCTTCAAAAATTTTGGATAGTCAAGACAAAAATCAGAGAAAACGGTAACGTCAAACCATACAGCGACATCGACATTGTGCATGTGCTGCCGGGCTGCTCATTAGTCTGCTCCCTTGCATATTGCGCTGATTAAAAAGTGTTTCCAGGTTCCAGATACACGACCATCGCTCCCTCAGTCTGGCTTCCAGACGTACAATTACAAAATTACAACACCGTCTGCAAATGGTGCCCAACTAAATTTAGTGCAATAAATATGGAAGCCCAGAGAGGCCATATAAAGCTTATACTCGATCGTAACCCCATCTAAAAACACGTTAAAATTGTGCAGCAGCAGGATTCCAGTCAAACCAGTGAGTTTGGCGGTTTTGAGACATCATCTTACAGTGATAATTTTTTTGTTTAATTTTGCCGACGCGCATGGCTACGGTGATGCGCGCACAGACCAGAAACCGGAGACTTTTTTTTTTTGGCCTAAGCTCCTTTTCGGTTTAAGCTCCTTTTTGGTTTTTGTGCTAATGAAAATTTGCATATTCATGAGCAAAAGTGTGATGTCATTTCAGGCAGAAAGCTCAATGTTACAGCTATTTCGGAATTTGCCAGAATTGTGGATGTTTAGCTGTCGTAAATTTTCTTTTCTTTGGTGATACATTGTTGTGTAAAGTACATAACTGTAAGCTAATGAGCAACCCTTGCTCACAATTTTTTTCAATTTGGGTTCATAATTTGAACAGAAAACCCCTGAACTGAACAGTGTCTTCCTGAAATGACATCCACAGCAACATCACCTCAGTTGTTCGGAAAAATGTGAAAAACTTTCAACGTTTAAAGAAGTGCACTTTTCAATACAATTAAATTGTTCCTTTCCTTGTACCTTTTTCTTTTTCTAGCTTACTTTCTTTTTCTTTTTGTATCTGCCTAAGCTGATGTTTTGTTGTTGTTGTTGTTTAACACTTTAGTTCTGTTTTTTTGTGTATGCTTTTTGTGTTGTTATCCAAAAATCTTTTGATTCAGATTAAAAATTAACTTCCAGTTTTGAACTGGGCGTGATTCTGAAACGGACCATGGCACTTTCACCCAAATCATAATGACTGCCACACTGATAATATAACACTGTGGTTCTGTCAATTCCCAATCAGGCCTGATTCTGAAATGGAGACGGAAGCACAAGAGGAGCCCCCGAGTCGGCAGGGTCAGCTTCATGACTCAGATTCTCCAAAAGGGGCGTCGCCCAACCCCCTGACATCCATTGATATCACCTTGCACATGACGGCCAGTCAGAAAGAAGAGCTTGCAGAGAGGTTTCATAAGCTGGACTCCAACAAAGACGGGTAAGGCAAGCTTAAAGTTAATGTACAGCATTTATTTTTGCTGTAATTTTCAGAAATGGACAGATTTGGGGGTTAGTACATTAAAGCAAAAATTGTTACACTGACCTTTTTAAAGTTTTGTGTTCATAGATGCTGGAAAAACCAAGAAAAAAAATGGTCTTCTCGTAGTCTGGTTCCCTGACCCTACTTCAGACCGAATGGAGCAATTTATAGAGGTCCTGGAATTGTCTAATCAGGGAACCAGACTAGCCGGTTTGCAGGATGTGTAACCGATCGAAATGTGGACTAGCTAAATTTGGTAAATTGGGGGCAGTATTTGAAAAAACAGATTATGTTGTACAGTTTTACTGTTGATACCTGATATGGAAAACAAACACTTTTTTGAAACGAAAAATGTGTGTCCCTGCAGGGTTGCTTCAGATAGTTTTACGAAGGAATAACTACGGATGGTATTTTGCAATTTGCTTATGTTAGAGTAGATCATTTGCAGCTATCCAAAAAGTAACTGACGAAATTATTGTAGAAAAACTCACTTGGTTTCAAGATAGTCATGGCAGTAAAATCCTTTTGAAATTATTGTTTCTGGCATGCTGTCATTTTGAAGAAAACAATAAAAGAAGGCAATTTCCAATCAGGTGACGCATTTTTGAAATTTCAGTTAGTAGTTGGTTTGTTATTCGGCGAATCCATGAACGGGTGTGCGCAAGCATTGAAACGAGGCACACACATGCCCACGTTTACTATTATTCGTTGTTTCTGTGCATGACATTGCGTAGCTGCAATCGGCTGAACGAGAACGTGTCCCGGACGCTGATTTTGGGCGCAATTCAAAACATGACTCTGCAACTTTTGAATTGAATTTGAGATCCTGCAATATTGTTTTCTCGGAATATACAGCATTCACAGAGCTAAAACGTCATCAGGTTAGTTGTTAAGCACCCTTCTTTAGATTTTGAGCACTTTTGTTGCTTCAAACGAAAAACATGTACAAATAACAAATGATATACCCTTCCTTTAAAAGCTAATAGATTCTTATTATAAAAACCTAAAATGTGGCTGGCATTTCTCTTTGTTGATTTTTTTGGAAATGAAGTGATGAATTGACATTAAAGTTCAAAAGAATTTTGTCATATTTTTGTCATCCATTTTGAAAAATATATGAGGTTGATGTAGTCACAATTCATTTCTTAATGCTAAATAAAGCTTCCACCATTTATAAGGAAATCATTTGTTTAATATTTGCAGGCACATTACATTCCAAGAACTGACAAGCATACTTCCAGAATCCCTCACCAAATCGCAGAAGAAGTTCATCAAAGAGGTAAGGCCTGAAACCATTTTTTTTTTTCATTCAGAACATTTATTTCATTACTGTCATATATTCTTTTATGCAAACAATCATCAAGAAATATGTTAGTTACAAAGCTACACTACACAGAGATCTTAAATGATAAAAGAATTAAATGGAGAACATTCAGGTTTATTAAGGATTCAGATTTGGAGATATCAAGGTTTCGCCATCAAAGCTACAACTTCATTTATCCAAACCTCCAGAAAAGAAGAAATTTGACAAAGTCGGCCAAGACTAATTGTTACACATTGTAAGTGGATTATTTCATGTGCAAGCAAAAGTATGTCAAAATGATGTTTGCCTAAACTAAAAACAAAAAACTGTCTCCTATCTCCGTTTAAATTCAGACGTTCTTGTTCCTTGGTGCTAGCTGTCTTGCTGTTGAGAGATACTGTAACAATATACAATCACAAGCAACAGGGGACAATTTTAAATGAAATTTCACATATCAATCCCCTTATTCTCTTGGCCCATGTTTGACTTTTACGAAAGCAAACATTTGACTCACTTATCTGACATTTGATTCTACTTTTGTTTTATTTGGAAACCCAATATCACAATCCACACAGTTTGTTGAGGTGAGTTCTGCCAAAAAGACTCTTTGCCTTCGGTAACTAGTGCTTAACACCTATCCCCCTGGTCTACAGAATACTTTTGCTCTTACAAATTAATTAATTAGATACTAAACTCCTTTCATCTAAATCTGAATACTTTTTACTATTTCTAAAATGTTGTTATCCTGGTGTTCTGGACTGCATTTTCCTTTCCCTTTTTCCAGTGGGTTTGGGGATGGGAAGTGGGAGGAAGGGTGGAAGGGGGAGGGGGATTCCGTTATTACTAATTATATCAGGCATCCAGTGGTAAATATCGTATTGTATGCTTTTGTAAAAAGTACCCGGATGACTGCAATATGTTAGTAAAAGTACCTAGATGAGGACAATATTATTTTTGATATTGTCTTCATCCAGGCATTTAAATTTCGCTGGTTCCTGCACAATCAAGAGCGCAGAAACTCACAGTTGTCAACCAGTCAACAGAGCGTAGCAGGGCAGGGCATATGCACACTGCTGTAATCAATAACTACAATGGCAGCTTCGAGCAGCGAAAAATTTGCTTCAGTATTAACGAAAAATATTTGACAAAATACGAGAAATAAAGACAGTAACCTGAAATGTATTTCCTGTGGATCAAGTCAGCCAGACTTTGATATAAATAATAATAACAATATTGGATTGCTTTTTTTGGAGGAGGGGGGATACAAGAATATATTGCACTCGCTATTCAACTCGTGCAATATTGTTATAGCTCGTGCAATATATTCTTGTATCCCTCTCAAAGCCATCCAATATTATATAAAGTTATATTTATGGCCACTGTTATTCATTTCCAAAGTTGAAGATTGTGATAATGATATGGCCAATGATGTATGTTTTACAACCCCCCCTTTTCAAGTATACCTGTTCTCGGTAAACTATACTCAATGAGATTTTTTTTGGGATTAAAAAGTTTTTTGCATGCTTCTAACTTCTCCTGAACCCCCATTCTCAGCTGGTTGTGTGTGGTGTTGGCTTTTAGCTATTGTTTCCAGAACTTCGTTAAGAAAGACAATCTTATGTAGTATGTAACAAATAGATCTGTACACCGATGAGCACCGTCTTGGTTATTTCAATCCTATTTTGCAGGTGGGACTTGCACCCAGCACCTTTAGAATTGCCGACTTTTATCAATCTTATATATTTCAAGTGAAATGGAAGTGGTAGTTTGTTGGAATCCTTTTTCTTTACTAATTGAAACTGAATGGTACCCTTTTTATTTCTTTATTTGTAATTAAAACTGGGCTCAGAGTTTGCATTTCTGAGTATTTTGTGCCTAATTTGACAGCTGTCGGGCTTTTTGAATTTGATGTTCAGTAGTGTTTGTGTTGGTGTGAATGTGTGTAATTGGTGTGTTCTTGTTATGTCTGATGTGTGTGTGTGTATTACATTTATCCCGAGGACAGCAACACAAACACAGAACAACAGATTCTTAGGTTGTCCTTGAACGATCATCTTTTATTGAGAACAGTCCTCGAGCGTAACTATGTGTGCTTAGTCTATGGGAGAGTGTTATATTATGGGAACAGAGGCAAACACAATGCATTGTCCTCAGGCGTAATGGTAAACTACGACTGTGTGTGTTTTTCAGTATTGTCTCTTATCTAACGATTGTTTTTTTATTCTGCCAAAAGTCTTTAGGCAGCTAGAGGTACTACATTGTCATTCACTCCTGTAAGGCATTGCTCCTGCTTACCAGACCTGTTAAACCTTTTAACCAGTTCGCGCCGGGATTATTTTGACATTGACCGGACCCAGGCGTGGGATTGTTTTCACAAACCTCGATGCCAGACGTTGGAAGGCCATCATCTGCGGGTAGCACACCCTGATATTTCCGGCTTCGCTCACTGCGAGCAGGTCGCTGACAGATATTTCCGGCCTCGCTCATTGCGTGTTTATCCGTCATCCGTTCCGAATACTGCAAAACCTTTGCGCGTACACGCATACACGTCATCCGATGTGAACTGGTTTACAGCTTGTTCTTTCAGCTCCCGTGGGAGTATGGAGGTCAATGCTGTCAATTTTGGCATAAACTTCAAGAGAAGCAACAGTGACTTGCTCAACAGTCTAAACTTGATCCAACATATTCCAAAATAATTGTTACATTTTCAGTTTAATGCCCCAGACGAAGGCCACAGCACTCCAAAATACTGAATTTTTATTTTTTCTCCCCCAGGCCCAGATGGTCCAAAACTAGTCTTTTCGCTTCCTTCTTGTTAATATCCAAATATACCATTTTAATTAACCATCCCTGTTCTCGTGTGTATATATCTTTTACCCAGGTGTATGAGACGGTGAGTAGCAGCACCTTCTTTGGTCTGGAGGAGTTTGTCGGGGTGACATGCCTGGCAGAAATGTTGTCTAAATTACCCGAGCCAGTCAAAGATACTTATGACACCATCAATTTTGCCACAGTCCAGCAGTCCATCATGCAATTTGTTGTAAGTTACTTTGGGATTTTTTTCCTACAATATGGCCGAAAACAACCATGTGTCCGTTTTCGATGTGGGTATTGCGTTGTGCGTTTACAACTTGCGTATCTGTGATGTGTACTCTGAAATCAATGTGTGCATATTTCTCTGCACGCTTGACGGACGTCAAAGCTCAAATTAAATTTTGCTCAGCTTTGGCAAAGTACATATTTTACGAAAAAAACATTGACAAGATTTACCTTCTCAATAAAATACATAGGGTATGACTATTCAATGTTTTATTGTTTCAAAAAGAATCGCACACAAACTGCTTCCATTTTTAATAGGCCAACCATTTAACGTTTATCTCTATAGCCACTACTTCATCGTTTTGTTAAGTTGTAAGCAACAAATCCCATGCGTATTGGATGCGTCATCCATTTCAATCCCTACCTGAAGCATATAAATATTTCAACGGATAATGCAGTACAGATAACGCAATGCTCATTACGGATGCATGGACACATGCCTATTGCTTATCGATCAACTGCTTTTTAAGCATCACGCAGTGGGCACTACGCTGAGGGCATGATGGACACATGGATTTTCAGCCTAAGAGCATTTGATTCTGTATACCTAGGTGTATTCTTGGGCAGTGGGGTTATCTCTTTACAGGTTCCCATCATTTTAAACAGGTTGATTATTTATTTACTTTTCATCCTATGATCAATCAAAAATTGAAAAGTGTGTTGGATCTTAAATTAATGAACCACGTTTGTCTCATTTCTGCTTGATTGCTAAATAACAAGCATCAAATACAGAGTTGTTGACAAGTTCTTGATTGTAAGCAATAATTGACGATTAACTTCAAGATGGTTTCAGTGCATATCGCGTTGTGAATGAAAGGGAATGTTCCGAGATGTATGAGTGCACAAAATCTGCTCTGGTTGATTACCAGCATGTTTTCATAACTGGTACTATGCAGTGAATGATTGACATCAAAAGATTTAATTTACTGAAGTATTTGCCTCAATTAGATGAAATCAAAACAATATTTTTTTATGTTTGTTCGTTGTATCTAGTGGGCACCATGTTGACTCCTACATTTTTATTGGCTCAGTGTACATGGATCTGTGGATGAGTGCATCTACACTAGCCGATATCAACTTATCTCTCTCATAATGATATTGTAATTAGTGGATCTGTGGATGAATGACGATATCTGTAGTACATTGAAGAAGTTGTTCTCTTCAGTGGATTTTTTAATGAGCTTTTTCATTAACGAGGTGGCTTTGTCACAAAGCACGCTTTGCAGTTTTGCCCCCTCGCCTGATCAAATTGTAAAAACACGTCTATACACAATACACATTCTGCTTGATAGTTTAGCGCTAATATGGCCATAATTTCAGTTGATGTCAATGTGATTTGTTTCAGATGATGTTTTCGTCAGTGGATAGACAGCAGACTGGTACCATCTCCATTCCGTCCCTTCTAGAGGTGCTATCCATGGCCACTGACAGAGACTTGGTGTCAGACCAGAATCTTACCGGTCAGATCCTGACAACAATCGGAAAGGTTGGTGTTCAAATTCAATCTTGAAATTTAAAAAACAGAGTTGCTGAAAAGCACCATTATATCGAAAACAAAGTTAAGAGATATTGTTGGTTTTGTCCAAAGTCACATTAAAAAAACAAACAATATGAAGTTTTATTTGCTACAACAATCTTATAAGACTAAGGCAAACGTAGCAGGCTCTCTTCACCAGGGCCCAATTTCACGGCGCTGCTAAGCAAAAAATTGCTTAGCACAAAAAAAGCCTGGCTTATAAAAGCAGTTTACCAGCCAAAACTCCACGTGATTTTCATACTGTAGTAAACAACAGCTGAATGCTATAATCACAAGTAATATACATCACATGGAGTTTTGGCTGGTATCCTGCTTTTATAAGCCAGATTTTTTTTGTGCTAAGCAAGTTTTTGTGCTAAGCAGCACCGTGAAATTGGCCCCAGCCTCCAACCAATCTAAGTCACAAGTGTTAGTCAAGTCAGTCAGTGAAATAGGTACAAAGAAGACACTTGAACCAGCAAAAAAACTGTTCTTCCAAAAGCCCTAGTTTCCCTTGAAAAAAAATCATATGAAGATCAAATTTCAGACCTGCTAACCTTTATGATTTGTTTCTTCCTAAAAAAAAACCCAATAGGGTTGTCCCGGAAGTACGGAATATTTGAATATTCGATCATCAACAGAACGTTAGAAATAGCTTTTTGCCGCTTTGAATATTCGAAAGTGGAAAAATAAAAAACTACTCACATACACACACAACTGTGATGTTATCATAGAGTTGCAGTGTTTTATTGTCAGGTGCCACTTTTTTTGTTGATGGTACATTTTTTGTCGACGGCTGTTCATTGTTTCTATCCTTTTAGCATGATAAGCAGGTTAAATTCCTTGACAGTTAAAGAGGTTGTGGAATGCTCGAAGACATTTCCGTCATTTTTCGGGTATATGTAGCCTAAGGTGTGATGAAATAAAAACGACTATTGTTTCTGTCATAAAATGAGTACAAAAGGTACTTTTGAGAGCTGTTTTTCAAGTCCTGTCATGCCTGTTTCGACCCGAACGTGCAATTTGTGTAAAAGTCGTCGTTGCGGGCAGCAAACAAAACACAGTAAATCGTGACGTAATAAACAGGACTCCCGATGCAGAGTAGCATAAACGAGTCCTGTTTATTACGTCACGATTTACTGTGTTTTGTTTGCTGCCCGCAACGACGACTTTTACACAAATTGCACGTTCGGGTCGAAACAGGACCTGAAAAATAGCTCTCAAAAGTACCCTTTGTACTCATTTCATGACAGAAACAATAGTCGTTTTTATTTCATCACATCTTCGGCTACATATACCCAAAAAATGACGGAAATGTCTTCCAGCATTCCACAACCTCTTTAAAAAATACTATACTGCAAAACACTCCATATCGATTGCCGCGCACAAAATTTAACTGGCGTGCTCTGCATGCAACTTTTGACCAGCGTGGCACGCATTTGCAAGCTGGCAGTTTATAATATCTGAATATTCGGTCAAACACAGTTTCGAGTAATTAAATACTAAATTATTCAAAAATGGATAGTCCTAAAAACCAATTAGATAATCACCAAAATTTCATTGGATAACTTTTTTTTTACCAATTTTCTATCAGTTTCATCAAACACGTAGTGCAAAAAGTCTGGAATAACAGTAAAATGAGTAAAATCACTCTATTTGCTCTGACTGGCATGTTACAAGTGTGTGTCATAATTTGATCTCAATGCTTTAAAATTCTGAGTTTATTTCTTAGGCAGAAAAAAAAGTCTCCGGTTTCTGGTATGGAGCTTGCCCCCAAAGTGGTTTCCTTAATTTAGTGCAAAATGTATTGGAGCACAGAGAGGCCACATAAAGCTTATACTCGATCGTAACCCCATCTAAAAACATGTTAAAATTGTGCAGCAGCAGGATTCCAGTCTAACAAGTGAGTTTGGCGGTTTTAAAACATCATCTTACATTGGAAAAAAAACTTTTAAATTTTGCCGATGCCCATGGCTACGGCGACGCGCGTGCATACCAGAAAATGGAGACTTTTTTTTTTGGCCTTAATAGCTATGTGAAGTTACTTATTGTAAAAAACAAACAAACAAACAAACAAAACTAAAATGTTTTGGACCTCTGCTAAAAAAAATTTTTTTTGGGGGGGGGGGATACTGAGGAGTTTTTGGATCAGAAGTCAACCCCCTGTAACAACAGTTGTTGATTTCTTTGCATTGCTTGGATTCACTTTACGTGTGAAATGGTAATATTTTGTCATTTTTTCTATCCACAGAATCTGGGGTCAACCGTCGACAAAGTAGAGTTTCTTGCCTTTCTGCCATACTTCCTTCAATTCAGATGATGCTTGGTCGCTGACGAAACCTGAACAGTCAATCTTTCCAAATAATTGTCATCACAAAAAAGTACAAGTCAAATTAACCTTTTCAGTCAATTCTCTGTCAAAAGGAAAATTAGAAGGGTTGTCTATGTCTTGATTCTGTTGCTTTTTAAATGTCCTTTTCTTTGTGTTTTCAATTTGATGACATCAAGTACCTGTTCATGATTTTTTTATGTATATTTTTTGTTATTGATGATTTCTATCTGAATGCATTGGATCATTCTGTGAGGGTTTGTCTCGACCCTCCTTTTTTGTCATCATTTCAGAGAATTCATAACTTTCTTGAGCTACCTACATTGATAAAGCTATGTACCACTTATTAGAGTACCAGTGAATAAGTTGGTATTTCAACTGAGCAAGCACACAATGATATATGGCTCACAAGTCATTCGGGATAATCGAACGCTCATCGCAGGCGCATGCATGCGCAAGGAGATGGTCGCACAACGCTCGCATGTTTAACTGCGAGAAGAATGAGCGTTCGTGTACAAGACACTTGGGTAGCATCAGCAATTTGACCCCGAATGACCTTTGACCTGTACTACTTCATTGAGATACCATGTTGGCTCATTCTGATCCATTCAATTCATATCGTGACTCTTTTACTCATTTTTTTAATCACTGTAGGCCCCTACTTTCTTTTTTTTTAATGTGGAATTTTCTTAAATCTGGTGAATCATTTGAGGAAGAATCACCAGTTTCTGGTAGAGCACAAACCTGTCTATCTCAGTACTTCTACACTTAGTAATTTTCTCTTCATAAAGGACCTGCAAATAATGAAAAGGGAAAAAAATAAGTTGACCAGATTTGTGTAGCTATTATTTTCTTTTCGTAGGATATGATTTCGTGTTGGGGTGATGTAAATCAATTATAGGTTTTTGCCCTTTACCAACGTATAAACACTGTATACTCAGAGTGAAAGTTGGAAAAATCGCTTGGGTGGGATTTGAACAAACGACCACCTGCTTACTTGTAGCAGCAGGTACCACAATTAAACTATTCATAAGATGGAATTTTATTGTTTTGGTGTGCGAAATTATCCAAAGAAGCAAAATGCCAGTGTTGTATTCGAGTCCATCACAAGTCCTTTCATTTCAGTCACAAGTATGAACAATAAGCCATTTGCGAGTTAAATTTGAATAAAACCTGGAACGCTGACTTAATCCAATGCTATTTGCACGTGTTAACTTTGCCTTCTCCTGACCAAAGAGACTGTGTACTATATATCATGTGATTCGGGGCAAGCCTTATGCTAGCAACCATCAGCTCTGGCATGGTCTGGTGTCTTTGTGACATTCTCACCCATTGTGAACAATGTATTGATGCTGAGCGTCTCTTACGTAACTATGCAAGAGCTTGCTCCGAATCATGTGATTAGCAACAGTTGTCTTTGGTCTGGAGAATTCAAAGTTAAAATGTGCCGAGCATTCCTGAGCAAGTCAGTGTACCAAATGTTTTTCAAATGTAAATCCCAAAGGGTATAGGTCACTTGCAAATGGCTTATTGTTACAGTTCATTTGAATAGTTAGTGACTTGACTTGAGACTGAAGGACTTGTGATGGACTCAAATACAATACTGCAGAATGCATACTTTAGAATATGCACCGTTTTAAAGAATTCCTATTTTTCTTCTCTGATGTTGCGAACAAAAGTTTGAGGAACCAGTTTGTTTGAGCTCAATCAATATGTACAAGCTAAAATAATAGTCTGAGAGCTAGGCTTCCGGGATTATTTAGATCCTTATGTAATTGACTTAACTTTGTTTTAATCTTGACCTAAACTATGCAAAACTTGTAAGCTGATATTTCATGTTTAATGTGATTTTTATACTTTAAATATTTCTATAAAAGGTACATTTTCAATTTTATTTTGAGAACAAAATTTGGAGATTTTCAGGTGGTACTGTACTTTTTTTTTTTTTTTTACTTTAACCTTGTAAAAAAGGTGCAAGCTATTTTGAATTAGTTTGTCGTTGGTTTGCTTGTTTTGGTTTTTACATATTTGTGACCTGTTCTGTCAAAAGCAGACGCTTCTGGGCAGAGGTTGAAATTGAGATAGGGCCACAAAACACTGTGGGAATGATTTTTTTGGATTTTCAAATTCTTGCATATTTGAAGTTCTGAGCATTTCTAAAATATAATATAAAAGTTTGAAACCCTAATTTGAACTCTTAAGTATAGTATTTTTGATGATTTGTTAAGGTATATCAGTAAAAGAAATGTCACTTGAAACAGGTCTTAAAATAGACCCCAAACTTTGGCTGCCTTTTTCTCCGTTTTCTACTTTTCGACACGATGAACTTCAAAATAGCATAAATTTGCCCAGGAATGTCCGGTTTCAAAAATTAAACCGCCTATTAAAAGTAAAATATACACCTTTTAACAATAAGCAAAAATCTCATATTTGACCTTGTCAGTGCCCAGAAAAGTCTGACAGAACAGGTCATATTTTGGAAATATGTAATTTGTTTCTAATCTGCAAATGTCATATACTTTCAGTTTGCAGATGAGTGGTGCATTAGTTGTTGCTGGTATATGAGTTTATAAACATCAAAGTGAATGAATATCCATAAATTTTATTAAATTGAATATATTCATGAAATAGCAAGTTCTTGAAATGTTTAGAATTTAGAACAAATGAAAAAAGTGTTTTGGTTTTTAAAGTTTTATTTTTACTGTGAAATGTTTCTGCTGTGTAACATTTTTATGAAAGACCGTATGTATGCATTGTATTCTATAACAGTTATATACACATTTAATGTTATTTTGAGTTTTAAAATATGTCTATGCAGTTACCATTTCAAGGTGTGTTTATATGAAAATGTAATAACGGCAATAAAATATAACAGTTCCTAATGATGAATCTTCCTGTTTTCAAGTGATTTTATAGCATTAGCTATGATATACATGGAAAATATCCATAAATAAGGGTGCCGTATATCTTTGTACATAAAGAATTTTCTGCACTCTTTGCAGTTTCAGTATGTGGTAAATGTCATTCAAAACATGAATCATAAAAATCAAATTTATCTTCTTCATACATGATGAGAAAATTGTTTCGGAGAATGGCAAATTTGGTGTCCCCATTATATGTGAAATCACTGTCATTTTTGTCATGAATCATGTAGATTACACTGAAAAAGTTTGAGAATTCACTGTTTATTTCATAAATTAATAAGGGAATAAATGTGTGCTCCGGAGGTTTTTATCACTCTGTTTAATACCACTTAGAGTCTGGGTGCTGATAATTACCCGAGCCGGAGGCGAGGGTAATTATCAGCACCCAGACTCTAAGTGGTATTAAACAGAGTGATAAATACCGACGGAGTACATATTTATTCCCATTCATAAATACCTTTTCGGTAAAAAAAAATCATATAATTCGTTCAAAACATCCCGATTTTGTTCAACAAATTCACTTTATGCTTTTTGAATCATCCCTCCTGCAAAATAATGGAGTGTTCAGCTGGCGAGTAAGATGAAAACAACCCTTTTATGGAGATTGACGCGCGCGTATCGTGTTCTATGCGATGTCGCGCAGAACGCACCTGGCGCGTTGCATTTTGAATTTAGAACTATAAAATTCTAACTCCCTGGTAGTGTTGCGCATGCCTACGTGAGGATTGTGAACGTTCAACCAATGAAACGATAAGAGGCACTGGATTTTTAGGAGTCCACATTTTATTTTGACACTGGAAAAGTGTTTAAGACCAGCTAGCCATGTCTTTATCATCCGTTTAATACCGGCCACGTGACGGGCTCTCGACCAATAGGAATGGCTAAACTGTCTGAGGTATTTATGAATTGGGATTATACATACAGCAATTGAGACATTTGGAATGAAGTAGTTTAATTATAATATACAAATTACTGGTCTCATGTGTAATGGGTACTCCAACCTCTAAATATGGAAATAATTATATTTTGTGCAATAATTATATCCATCTGAAAATGTCTGAATTTTATAGAATAATAAGTGTCATTTATTAGCTTATGAAATCCTTTGCGCAATCACTTGACAAATAAGTTAAAAACATAAACTACACGTTCTAAATGAAAATACCAGCAGGTACACATTTTTATGATTTATTTTTGAACGTGTAGATAGAGCTAGTGGCAAAGTGTGTGGCGCTCCACGTGCAGATGCATGGATGCAGACGAAATCGAAGAGTTTTTCCATTATTATTCAGCGTTTATTTCATTGTTGACAGGTACCTTTGCTTTTATCATGCTGCAAGGCGTAAATGTATTGCTACAATAATGACAATGTATTTTTCACGTTTGTAGAAGGGTACAACTTGACCGAGTTAATGTTAATCACTTAAAGGCCTGCCGTCGGTCGATTTGCGATGCACCAGTTTCGTTAATATTTTCTCACCTAGACCCGTGAACGTGGCTTGTAAACTACACGCTCTTGTACATGTTCGAACCAAGCGAAATCGTCCTTCCGTGACAAAGACTGAACATTGCCTTACCGTGTGATAAGTATTCACATTATTATCATTATCAAGCTTTCTTGAACTTGTTGAAATCTGCTTTTACGCCAAATCTGGCATTTAAAAGATATTCGAATTTCGAGGTAAAATCTGGCAAGATCTCGACGTCCTGCAACCTCCTCCGATCATGCATGTGATTTACCACGTGATAAATGCTGCAGATAATTTGGTATCACACTGACGCTCCGGGCACTCCTGATGTCCGGATCATAAGTGCGATTCCAAATTATTAGCTGCGTTTATCACGTGGTCTCGTTATTGGCCAATCAGATGCCGCCTAGTATCATATGCGCCACATGAAGCAGACGGGTAGCTCGGAGGGCTCCGATAAATTTGCACGCAAATGACCCTGGGTACTCGTCCAGGGTCATTTGTCAGGGTCACTTGTCAGGTTAAAATCCAAATTCTACACTTTCGTATGGGTCTTCATTGATGGCAAATTTCGTCGAAATGGCACATCCTGAACACGCGGACAGGCAAATTTAGATTTCTAGGTGAGTACTCAACATCCATACGAAATTATGTATGGCAGATCGATTTCGCTAGGTTCGAAAATACACAACAGCGTGGAACGCCATGTTCACGGGTCTAATTCTCACCTTGCTCAGAGATCAGCTGTAACGTACGCTATTCCCATACCATACCTGGCCATGCATCACTAATTTCTTTCAGTAGGCCTAAACGATATTAAGCCAGCTAGATACAATGCCCTCTGTTGTTAAAATTCTGATATTTGAATTTAAATAGACATGATTTGATAGAACAGTATGTGCCAAAAACTCAAAATTCTAATCACAATTTCCTATTCTGAAAAAGGGTCACCAAATGCACAGCGCCTTCCACATTTTCTAATGTAGTTATCAACGCCATAAGGTGCGTGTGGGTGCAGTGTACACAATGTTCAAAACAGGCGCTTGTTGCTCGAATTTCTTTGATGCATCACAACCAATTGACTTGCAAAATGGCCATCTATGCACATACCATCTATAGGCAGTGATTACTCCTAGAACTATGAGGCTCCGCGTGAGCGGAGCCTCATAGATCAAGAAGCCCGCAAAATTGCATGCAGCACAAAACACTAATAGTACAAAAACGTCCATCAAAATGCAGCCATTTCACACATAACCGCTGCACAGTTTGCCCCTATACTCCGTACTTTATCTCTTGACATACTCACGTATCTTGTGCGGAACTAACATAGGTGGATTCTGTCGGTTTTTAGGCCAAAATGATGAAAAATATGCCCTTTCCGCACTGAGCCAACCTGACACTTGAAACGTGCACGCATATGATCGAGCGGGGGGTACGGTACAAGCGAAATGATGTGCATGCGTACAAGTGCTAGGAGTAGGCAGTGATGTCATTTGAGAGATATCTTTTTGTTTTCCATGCTAGTAAGAAGGTGAGTGTGCTTCCAAAGCTAAAAGCACAAATAAACTTGCAGCAAAGTCTGTATGTGAAATTAAAAAGAAAAATAATGTCCTACTGGTCACTGGCTATGATGACAGTGGGGCCCTATACGGAGGAAGTCCAGTATTTGGGTCCCATTTATGGGACTTCTACTGCCCAAGTTAATGCGTAACCTTAATTTTCTTGCTACATGTATTTAAACAGTCACAGACAGTCAAAATTCACTTCCACTTCCCCTGCTATACTTTTATCAAAGGCTAGTCACCAGCAGTCAGATCATATGTCAAGCAAGCACTGTGACTAGTCAAACCGGGTCAACAGACAAAGCAGGCAAGTTGTGGTCACAGTTTTATCACTCACCCGGAGTCAAAGCATAGCTGTATCAAGTTACTTAAACAGTCCCAGCCAGTCAATCCTGCTTTATGTAGGCTGGGAATTCTTAACTGTTGAAAACAGTCACTTGTTTGATTTTGACTGAAAGGACTAGACGACAACAAAAGTCTACATTTAGGGCCTCAGCCTGTGTTAAAAAGCAACAGGGAAAGATTTCCATATACGAAGTTCACTCAACGTTCTGTGTACAAACCATATGAGAGTGGACTGAAAAATTCTAAGTGTTTTCTAAGAAAATGCTTGTATTTTCTCACTGCTCAAATTGACTTTGCTGACATGAAATTGCTATCTGGGGGCTTGTTAGTGAACTTCGCATATGGTAATCTTGCCAAGCAACAGATATGTTTTGGAAGGATACCCGTTTTGGAAAGAGGACAGGATTTTGAATTTAGAGGGAAACTATTGGGTAAAACAACAATAATGACGACAAAACTGAACATGTGCGATACATACTAAACTGCATTGGTTGGTGCAGCATCAACTTGAAAATGGGTAAGAAACTTAAAAGAAAGGTGTTTTTTTGGTGAGATGGAGCATTGTTCCGTGATAAGAATAAGTTGCAAGTCTTGAAAACCAGGCCTAAGGAAAAAGAAGATTGCTTGAGGTTGCGGAAGCTATTCTGCGGCAAAAAAATTGCTTCATAACAACAAAGATAGAGAGGTCCTGGTGCCAGGAAATCTGAGTAACTAACATTTAGGAAAATGGTGACATGAAATTTCTTGGGTTTTGGCTAAGCAGTTTGTGTTCATTTCAATATAGGTACTAAGCTTTCACCATGCCTGATGAAACCAAGGTACAACTGGCCCAGCCTGTCCGAAAGAGACTCTTCATCGGAGGTCTGCATCAGGATGTCACCGCAGATGACCTGCAGCAGCGCTTTGGCAGGTTCGGATCGGTTACATCCGTCGATGTAAGGACAAAGAGAGATAGCCAAGGTAGGCATAAATTCGGCCGCACAAGAGAGCCATGTGTGAGCAAAAAAGTCATTCGAGGCCGTTTGCTCAGCATGAATGACATTTTTTTCTTGGGTTTTCCAGGGTCTATGAAAACGCAAATTTTGAACAGGTCAATGTACCAATATTTGCTATAAAATACCCACAAATCCACCATTTCTGAAAATTACAGCAATAGCAGATTTTGTATATTACCTTAAAGCTTTGTTAAGTGTGTATCAACACAAGTCTTTGTGTGGCGTTCCAAAGTACTAATCTTCTATTTGGTTTGTGCACAGAACAACCGTAATACTTGAGAAAGCCATGCAAAGGTGATGCAGTGTTTGGACAGCTAATTTGGCCATGATCATCAGGCCAACAGGCAGCAGTAGTTTTGAAATGGTGCTCAGTCAACCATGACTGCAGGGTGCAAGTAATGTTTTTGGGAAAGCTATCAAACCTTGCTTTTATATAATGTAACCATTCTCTCAGTTTTGAAGTTCAGGATTGTACCATATATAAGATCATTTATTTCAGGTATACCCTTTTTGAAACACCCAGAATGAGCACCCCAGAAATTTCAAGTGAATAAACAGTGATTTTCTGTATTTTTCCCTCGTTGCTTGCTGATCAGGACAAATAGTGAACGTCTTTGCCCACATGGATATCAACATCTCGGAGACCAACTTCAAAAAGTGTAAGTCCTTGAATTTTATTTCTTTGAATTTTCATTAACTCTTTTCTTTAAGGTGTTTTCCTTTTGAAAGGCAAAGGAAGACATCCTTTTTCAGAGTCTCAGTTGCTGTCCACCTTTGATATTTGCAACTTCTAAAAGCTCACTTTTCCATTACTCAGTGTATGGAAATAAAGCATTTTTCCATCCATTTGTAGAAATAATAAAAATTGATGACCAGCATTGAAATTTTGTTGAGTGCTGTGGCCCCTTGGTCTGGAGCATTGAATTCATGGTTTGTAGATATTTCTGCAGGTTGTGGGTTCGAGTCCCGCCTGGGGTTATAATGCGTGTGCCCTTCGGCAAGGCAATTTGTCACTCATTGCTTTTTACCACCCAGGAGTAAATTGGGTACCTGTGAGGGCAGAGATGGTTGCTTTGCGCCGAAATGGCAGCATCCAGCTGTTTACTCCCCAGGGAGCTGAGATGGTATTTGAAATGTTTCATTTGCCCAATGAGCAGGGTAATAATGATGTAGCGCCTTGAGCACCAATACTGGTGGATGTGTGCGCTATATAAATACACATTATTATTATTTAAATTTGACAGGCTCATCTATCTACAATGATACCAAATGGAAAGGACATACGATGAAAGTACAAGTGGCAAAGGAGGACTTCCTCACCAAGTAAGGAAACCTTATCCTCCAGACATTTACAACCTGACTCCTCAGCTCTGCAAATTTGGCTGTTGAGACTCGTTTTTATTACCAATAAGAACATTTGATGAAAAGGGTGTTGCGGTGTTTGCTACATCAAAGGCAGGCTTTCAAGAACCAAGGGAACCTCAGGAACCTCGAAAACCTAAAAAAAACCACCATCACTGTGCAGGAACTCAATGGTAAAAATTTCAAGGGGCATCAAGTCTGAATAGTAGCTGGGCTGCAATTTCAGAAAGCCTGCGTAATTGCTAAGGAACCTAGCGAACCTCAGGAACCATGAAAACCTCAAAAACCCATCACTTTGCAGGAAGTCAATGGTAAAACATCCAAGAGGCATCAAGTCTTAAGTATAGTTATAGTAGGTGGGCTGCAATTTCAGTAATCCTACATGATTACTTAGGAACCTTGGGAACTTTAGGAACCTTGAAAACCTCAGGAACCCCTCACTGTGCAGGAAATCAATGGCAAAATGTCCAAGGGGCATCAAGTCTTAAATAGAGTAATAATGGGCTGCAATTTCAGAAATCCTACAAAATTTGCTGAGGAACTAAGGGAACCTCAGGAACCTTGAAAACCTCAAAACCCATCACTGTGCAGGAAGTCAACTGTGGTAAAACTGCCAAGGGGCATTGCTGGGCTGCAATTTCAGAAATCCTGCGTGATTGCTGAGGAACCTAGCGAACCTCAGGAACCTTCAAAACCTCAATAACCCATCACTTTGCAGGAGGTCAATAATAAAACGTCCAAGAGGCATCAAGTCTTAAGTATAGTAATAATAGCTGGGCTGCAATTTCAGAAATCCTACACAATTGTTGAGGAACTTAAGGAAACTCAAGTTCAACCTTAAAAACCTCAGAAACCCATCACTGTGCAGAAACTGAATGGAATGAAAACGTCCAAAGGGCATAAAGTCTTAATAGTAGCTGGGCTGCAATTTCAGAAATCCTGCATAATTGCTGAGGATACTAAGGAACCTCAGGAACCTCAAACACCTAAAAGACCCATCACTGTGCAGGAACTCAATGGTAAAACGTCCAAAAGGCATCCAGTCTAAAGTAGAGTAATAGTAGCTTGCTGCAATTTCAGAAATCCTGCATAATTGCTGAGAAACGTAAGGAACCTCAGGAACCTAAAAAACCTCATGGATCTCGGTGACCAGATTCCTTTAATTCCTTTTCTATAGACTTGCAAACGAGAGGAAAGAAGCCAAAGAGAATCCAGAGCCCATCCGCACCAAGACAAGAAAACAGACTGAGCAGGATGCAGCCAAAGAAAGACTTGAGGAGAATATGACGAAGGCAGGGGTGGAAGATTTCCTCATGAAGAAAGCTGTCCCCGGAACACCAATACCGGGAGAAACGGTGAGTCGAGTGCTAAACGTTGGCTCCTTGTTTTAGCTAGCCCGAAGAAATTTCTCTGGTCATTTCGATCAAGAGGACATCAGCATTTGAGTCTTTGTACTTCCTTGTATGATAAACTTCAGTTATAGGGGATCTGAGTCACTTGTAGGGCCAATGTTTTGTACTTTTCAGAATAGTGTAAAATCCGTTTTCAAAAATCTTAAATCCACATTTTTTTCCGATACATATTATAGTGCCTTTAAACAAACACCATGTACACTGAGGCGATAATGAAATAGTTGTTTGGTTGGAAAGGGGGAAAATTGCCAAAAAAATTTATTGGGAAATAAATCCAGTTTGTGACATCATTTTTTTCATCATGTGCAGAACTGGATTGTCGGCAAATTTGGTCGCGTCCTTCCCATCATGCACATGCAGCGCAAGGACAAGCGATCCCAAATGACCCACGACCCCTCCAAGTATGTCCACTATGTCCGAAAATTCAAAGACGATGCCAAGACGGACCAACTCATAACTGACAGGCCCGTGGAAGATTTAACGTGGCAACTGCCGGAGGAAGTATCGGATATTGATAGAAAGAGAATGGGGGTTTTTCCCGAGTACGCCCACAAGAAGAAAATAAAACGAGAGAATCAAGGAATCTTGTTTAAAAACGAATCGTCTCAGAAGAAGCAAGTTCTTTTGTGGAGCCAAGATGGAAATCAGTCAAGTAGAGAGAAATCCAAATCTTCTGATGGAGACTTTGAAATTGTCCGGCGGAATGGAAATATTGACGGCAGAAGAACGGATTTAGTCCAGCTCAAACCATACCGTGCACAAATTGAAGCGAACGTTAAATCAAACCAAAGCACTCAAGTTGAAAGCAATCAACAGGGACATCGTGATGTACAAGATTTACTGGAGCAGTACAACCTGGACTCGGATGAAGATTCGTGCGGATCGGCTGACACAGACGAAATTTGCAATTTTGCCAAAAAATCCTCAGAACCAGAGATCAAAGAGCGAGAGATTCTAACAAACTGGGCAGAGGATTACTACAGTAAGGAGAAAACGGCTGCAATGTCTGGTGATACGAGTGAGTTTGATGGATTTAGAAAAGAGGAAAGTGTCACTGGACGGAGAACACAATCACTTAACTCCTCCGGAGTTGCTGAGAAAAATGGACGGATAGAGAGCAAACCAGATGATAAAACAAATAGTGTTCTTCCCAGCAACGACCGAGAGGCCAATGTTCCGGCAAGGGGAAGAATCCCAGTCCAGATAGCTGATGATTCAGATGATACTGATAGTGATGGTAGTGAAAGGGAATTCGAAGAGGGTGTAAGGGTTGAAGAAAACGATGAAGACATTGATGAGAACGGTGACGAAACTGACGACGAAGAATATGAAAGTAACAATGATGCAGATGTTAATGAAGAACACAGTGATGGTGATGATGAAGATGACGAAGAAGATGATGATGACGACGAAGAAGATGATGATGATGAAAATTCTGAAGAAGATGAAATAGAGAACAGCGAAGCAGAGGACAATTTGAAAGAAACGACAACACACAGTCATGTTCAGTATAATGCCAAAGACACTAGGAACCTCGAAGACAAATTCGTGTCACACCAGGAAAAAGAGCATACAGTGAATTCCAGAACTGAAACAACAGTTGAAGAGAATGTCAAAAAAGAAAATAACAGTGACAGCTATTCTAGTAGCGAAGATGAAGGTGATGCTAGCGATAACGACGAACAGTCTTCAAGTAGCAGCAGTGCTAGCGATTCTGATTCCAGCAACAGTTCGGATGCCAGTGATGGAAAAGGGACACCTAGAAGAACACTGTCGGTCGACAACGTTGACTCTGAGGCCAGAAAGACTGCGCTTGCTTCTCCTGGAGATCAGACTAAACACCGACAGTCCAACCAGATAAGGTTGGAGTCAGTGAAGAAGAGGCAAGCTAGCATCCTGACTCAGAAAGCTGCCATCCAAGAAGCCCTGAAATCTCTGGTGAGCATGAAGTGTTGTTAATCAGTATTCTTCATTCTTGTTTTGTTATGTTTTTTTTAGTTATCTGTTTTTGTTTTTTGTGAGTATCGCCCCAATACAAGGCCAAGAGCCATTTATTTATTTATTTATTTATTTATAACATTTCTTACCCAGGGTATGCCCAAACTTTTTAAGCTGGTTTCCATGGGGGCCCTGTATACAATACAAATGACTACTTGACTTCCTTTGACTTAAGGCGACTACATACATTTACAAATACAATACATTACAAATACAATACAAGTTGTGTGATAGTTGTGTGATGAATAGAATAAAAGAAGACGGTACTGAAAGAATGAGCAAAAGTCATAACTCAAGAAATCTGTTCACAATTCGTTTGTGGAAGATAATAGGTAATAGGGAAAACAATTTGGGTAGGGAGTTCCATAAAGGGAGGCAGATTATTAAGAGAAAAGTAAATTCTCAAAAGACTTTCAAAGCAGTGTCTCACAAGACTGAAGAAATATGGAGATGAGACGGTTGATGAAATGTACAGTTTTGGACTGACTAGATCAGATTTTGACCAATGAGATGCCCACAGGTTGTCTCGGATTTTCCAGTTTCATATGGGAACCTGTTCACACAGATGTACACATGCAAATGTCAAAGTGGAATACGTATCAATATACTTGCTTAAATGCAGGACTCTAAAAAGGGGACTCTTTCTGCAAGGACACACGTGAGGTTTGACTCCGATGATGAAAGCTCTGAAGCTGATGGTACTCCAAAAAACAAAACTGCCACATCTAAGGTATAGTAGTGTCACCAAATTTATGTATATGTTGTTATATCTCTGATGATAAAACCTTTTAAAATAATGTGAAACTTTATTTTGAGCGAAAGATTATGCCTGTGTCGGACTGGCGTTCCGGAGAAGTGCCCGACCAAAAGATTTTGAGAATTTATATTAATCCTAACTTCCTAGGCATTTTTGCTAGGATGCAACCTCAATCCTGCAAAATCCTCCAAGTGCCTCCTTCATTGTCCTTGTCAAAATTGCATTCAGCACCAATCCCGCAAAATCATCTGTTATTTCTTGAATGTGGTCCTTGGAGGGGTGACTATGTTGTGGCAGAGCCAGTGACATCCTGGAGCAGTGTGGAGGATTTTGAGTATAATCTATGCCTAAATGAATGCACGACAAACATAAACAACACAAGGTCCAGCCTAAGACCCTGACACGGTGCATCTTCCAAAATCAGCTACACTCTTTTACCATATAGCCTGAACCCTGTAAAATCCTCCATTTTGCAAAGAGAATTTTGGAGGATTTGGGAAGGTTAGGGGTTAAGTACATGAAAGTGTTTGAAACATCATGTCATGGTACACCTACATGTAGCGTCATCTCAAACCCACTTCATTGTTTTTAATATTGAAGCAGTACATTTGTTTTTCCAGTCTTATTATTAACATGTTTTCTTCCTTGTTTGGTTAATAGATGAATGTTTTGAAAAGACCAGGCTTGTTTGACAGTGATGAGGAGGAGACGATGGACCTGGGGGCTGAAGCAAATGATGAGGACAGATTTAAGATCAAACCACACTTCCAAGGAAAGGCGGGAGAAAAGGCAAGTAGAAAACTGAAAAACCACATCAATCGTTGATATGTCCATGCAGTATTTTGACCCATGCGGCCATACCTGCATTTTTTTCTGTTGAGTTGCAGTGTTTTTGCGTCGTCAAAACAAAGTTTTGGGAGAAACTTACCAGTTAAAATTCTGTATGACCGTAAAATTCTGTAAGACCCGTATGTAAAAGCAAATTTCATCTGCAGTTTTCCAGGCTAATTCATAATTATTCAATGCATTTTCTTTTTACAACTTTACACCCATTGCCTCGGTATTATAGTCTCCTTCATGTATTTTATGGCATGAAACTGGCTAAGAGAAGGACTCTTCATATTTTGCGATGACCAGTAGACACGTCATAACTTGCGACGTGTTTTAAGCCATTGTCAAAGAGCTTATGACGCGTTCAACTCATCGCAAGTTTTATGAAATGGATCATACAGCGCGCCGCTAGTTGTGACGTGTTACACGTCGTAATTCGGGTTGTGATGCGTCGCAGCGCTTCGTAAAATTGGGTGCTGCTGGGTTTGAACAGTCATTTTAAGCTGAATGTGAAAACTTTGTGTTTTTTTCACCAACAGTTGCTGAAACTTCAGGATAGGATTGGGACAGACAGTCGCTTCAAGCTAGGAGAAACGTTCATGGAAGGTGAAGGCAAAAACCATTTTTTTTTTGGTTTAATGACGTGCATATCAAATTTCTTATACTTGAAATTATTTCCAGATGTTTTGAGGCTTTGCAGTTAAATTTAAAACTGAATATACCTTGCAGGTTTTGAAGTGTAAAATTTGTCCTTTTGTGGCGTATGCTTATTCTCTTTCAATCCTTTGCCTGGAAAATCTTCGGTGATTATTTGACTTGTTGAATTTGAATACAGATGATAGTGAGGATGATGATGTTGGTGACGAAGATCATGATTTGAAAGCGGAGAAGCAGAAATCACTGTCTGTCTTGGAGAGCATAGTCGGAAGGTACGCTGTGCACAGCCTGGAGAACAAGACTACCACAAACTTCAGGTAAGACTAAGCAACTTATATCTCATTAATTAATTCAGCTAATACTACATTAACAATGCCATGTTATACATTGAGGCCCATCTTCAGACCAACTGATAACCAATACAGTATCCTGAAATGGTTTATCCTAGTGCTATATCCTTTGATTGATTTAACCAAATTCCAACATTCTTGTTCTTATTTTCAAGTACAAATTTGAGGAGTTTTGTCTTTTTTTATTTGTTAACAGGGACCCTAGTCGAGTGCGTTACGACCCAACAAGCAAAGACCACACGCAGTTTGAGATTGCAGATGCTTCTGTATCCACTGGGTAATTATGCTTGACACATTTTAAATAGCGCTGGTATTATCTGGGCCTAGATAATAACTAGTATTTATCTGGGCCTGTGGGTGAGTTTTAATATTTAGGAGGTTTACAAATTAAGGGATACCTAAATGAGCCACTGTAATGCTGTGAAAATCTATTGATTTGAAATGAATGCACTGATTTGTTGGTTTTTTTGGTTATGTGTGGAATGTCCCTACATTGTTTTTGTTCGACCAATTTTTTTTTTGAGGTTTAGAAGGTTATTTTTGGCCAAAAATTAAAAACTACAATTCATTACTTCACAATTAAACTTTCTCTAAGTAACCACAATGGGATACAACTTGGTTAACTGCAAATCAATATTTATAAATACCTGAGACAGTTTTACCCATTCCCATTGGTTGAAAGCCTGTCACGAAGGTGGTTTTAAACCACTGGTAAAACACTGCAGCATTCTGCGCCACATCTCCCAGTACGTGCCAATCTCCAAATGAGGAGATTTCGAGCCATACGCGCACGAGGCTCATACCATAGACATAGCCAGAGCGGTGCTTCACTAAACATGAAGAAAAATTGTTAAACAAAATTGTTGGAATTCTGTCAATATTTGACTTATTTTGACTTTTTTTAACAAAAATGTATTAATCAATGGGAATAAATGAGTGCTTGGCCGGTTTTAAACAAGTATGTTTAAAACCAGATAGAGGGGCCTGATCGCCGATAGCATCCCTTGGCCCTGGCCGTATATTCCCTTATTTGACCTTAAAGCTATAGTCCATCATTTGCAGCTATCCGAAAAGTAACTGGCGTAATTATTGTTGAAAAACATACTTGGTTGAAAGATAGTAAGGGGACTAAACTCCCTGTGAAATTATTCTTTCTGGCAAGCTGTCATTTTGAAGTACATGTAATCAGCGAAAGAAGGCCTTTCCAATAGTGCTTCTTAAGACACACTGTAGGAAATTTAAATTAGTAGTTCGTTTTGTTATTCGGCGAAGCGCGCGCAAGCATTGGCATGACGCGCACTCGCACGTGCGGTTGCTATAATTCGTCGGATCAGTGCGCGATGTTTGTTATATCCGAATGTTGTGTTAAGTGCTGGTTCCACTCATTGTGCACATAAGTACACGTTCGGGACCGAGGCTTCACTATAGCCAGATATTTGTATTAACAGAGTTTGTATTAACGAGAGTCAACTGTGTTCACAGAACATCAACAAAGAAGAAAGACAAATCAAGAGTCGATGCATCAATTCCCGAGGTGTCCAAAGATATCTTTTATGACGTCAAGGACCTGGAGTTCAGCCAGGACAAAGATGAAAACAAACCGTTCAGGTTCTTTGCGGAGGAGGAATTGGAATCAGGTGAGAAAAAATTGACTTTTTTTTGTCAAGGATTTCTCATGATTCTCGGTCAAATCAGCTCTTTTGTGACCTGTCACCACAAAATCAGCATTAATAAAAAATGGATTTTCAAAGTATTGTGAAAACCAGACACTTCTGGGAAGAACTTAAAATGGAGAGATGACCACCCCCCAAAACCCGCCCCCCCCCCCCCCAAAAAAAAAAGCCCGACAAGGTGAGGCCATGTTTCTCCAATTTTTTTTTTAATTTTGTTTTACAGATTTGTAGTTTTAAATATGTCTAAAACTTCTGTCTTAGTTCTGCTAGGGCCAATCTTTTTTTTTGGATTTGTATATTTCAGGTCAATCCAGTCAGTAAGCAGTTTGCAGCAGTTTAATTAAGTCTCATTTGACTTTTTTGGATGATTTTGTAGAAGTATAACACTTCGAGAAATACAGAACTCAAAATTGTTATCAGGCAGTTTCCCTGTTTTCTCCTTATAAACTTCAATTTATTTTTAGAAAAATTAAGCATTGTAAAGGTGGAGATCATTGTGAAGGCAAAGATCTGTATTTTAACAATATTTTAAAAACCTAATTCCAAACCTAGCTTCCTGTTTGGGGATCCTGCAAGATAAGAGCTTTCTAATGGCATGTAACATTTTGGGGGTGCTGAGTTTAGTAATGGAAATACAGACTTCCAATTTTATCGAAATTTATAAATGATGTCGTGAAACCGGAGACTTTACAAACATTGTTCTTTTGAAAGTAGTTATGGATAAGAGCAAAGGAACCTATAGGTTTTATATACTTATGATAAAGCTAAAAGAATTGGGGAAAGGCAGAGAAGGATATGAAGGATTGAGGTTTACCGAAAAACAAAAAGTACATGTACATGTAACTACCCCTTCGAATGATAGAAAGCAGATTATTTGTGAGGCGTTCTGGCACAATGAGACACAACTTGGCAGAGGTCTGAATGAGAGTTTGTGGTTATTAGGAAGAGAATAAAATCCTCCTTTAGAATGATGTTTGTTGCACTTCAATCAGATATTCCGTTGACAAGTAATGGCTATGAAAAGTTTGCGTTTATCAACATTTCAAAAGTGAAATACTGAAAAAAAGACCTTCATAGTTTCAACTGCATTGTAGTCGTGAAAATTCGATATGAAAGATGCCTAATGTGTTTCCTTAAAAAGCACTTTTATACCACGCTTTATTGTATTTGTTTAAAAAAATTCACCACCATTTTGTGTTTTTGCATTTTTTTTCCACTATGGCCTGTGCCCAGTTTCATCCCATTTTGCCAGAACGCCTCACGTTTAAAGAAGTGTATATCAATGAAGGGCATTTTTTGTTCGTTTAATTTTATCAGAGGATGAAGATGTTGAAGGTTTGAGCACCCTTCAGAAGGACATACAGGCTTCAACAGCCCTGGGTAAGAGGCAGCTTACGCTGGATAGTAGCGACAGCGAGAGCGAGACGGAAGAAGCAAAGCATGATGGGAAGGATGACATGGATGTCACGGACACCTCTGATACGACGGGGAACAACCAGCCAACGTCAGCCTACCGAGCGTTCTTCTTTCAACCTGACGACATTAGGTTAAAAAGTAAGTATTTGTGCAGTTTAACTGCAGAACAAAATGCTAGAGTATATGGGCTCCGTGCGCAAGTACCCCCTCAACAAGTACCCCCTCAACAGTGAGAAAGGGAGAGTTGGGGGAGACCACTAGGAGAGACATTCGCATGCATAGCCAACGACGCCTGACACTCATGGCTTTGTGAACACTCAAAATAAAATTAGCTGTGCATACTTCGTGCTATCTGCACGTGAATAAGTATGCCCCACAGTGTGTCCCGTCCACTGGACCCCGTCCAGAGTGGTAGAAAAGCGCCCTCTTTTGTTTGTGCATGGGGAGCCCATATACCCCAAGACTAACGACGGATCCCTATTTCTTGGTGATGTAAGTTTGAATATTCAGTTTTGGGTTTCGGTTTTCACTGATGGTATTGTTTTCAGTACTGCACGCTCGGTGCTGTCAGGGAGCGTCTGAGATAAAAAAAACTGAGATAGCATGTGTGAGTTTCATCTTGAGACACTGGTTGCATTGTCTGCTGCTTTGTTGCATTCGGGGTGGCCAGCAACCCCTAGTAGGCTTGGTGGTTGAGTGGTAAGATGTCTGCACTAGAAAGGAGAGCAGGAGGTTGTGGTGTGTTCCAGTCCCACCTGAACAAGCTTGTGAATTTCCTTCTCACAAGCTATCAGACAGCACTGTGTGTACAGTGCTTGTCAAACCAAATTAAGTTGGTTTGGGGCAAAACCCAGTATTGCACTTTACAACACTAATGACATAATTTTCGAAAAAGGTAAAGAAAATATAAAACCTAGCTGCAAAGGGATTCCAATTTCGAACCTGTACTATTTCTGTCTTTAGCTGTAATTATCAAGCACTTAACACATTGTAGATGCACACATAAATATCTTGTTAAAGGTAGGGTAGATCATTTGTCATTTCTGCAAGTTTTTCATTTTTGAGCAACAGATCTGCTCAAAATCTATAGACGGGTGCTTAACAACTAACCTGATGAGGTTTTAGCTCTGTGAATGCTGTATATTCCGAGAAAACCTATTTTGATTTCAATTCAAAAGTTGCTAAGTCATGTTTTGAATTACGCCCAAAATTATCATCCAGGACATGTTCTTATTCAGCCGATTGCAGCTACGCGATGTCACGCACTGAACCGACGTATAATAGCAACCGCACGCGCGTGTGCGTCGTGTTAACACTTACGTGCACCCATTCCCCGAATTACAAACCAACTGCTTACGGAAACTTAAAAAAATGCGTCACTTGACGCATCTTTGAAAACGGCCTTCTTCTATTGTTTTCTTCAAAATGACAACATACCAGAAAGAATAATTTCACAGGGAGTTTATTGCCATCCCCGTCTTTAAACCAAGTGAGTTTTTCAACAATAATTTTGTCAGTTACTTTTTGGATAGCTGCTAATGATCTGCTCTACCTTTAAAGAATGTGTTTTTATTTCTGGTTATAGCTGGAGCAGAGCAGTTCTGTCGCAAGCTGAGTCTGGAAGGAATGAATCAGTGGTTTGAAGAACAGAAAGCTGGACTACAAGGGGTAAGTCACATTTGAACATTTAGAAAAGTAATTATTCCACAGCTAAATGTGGGCTGATTTTGTTCGTTTGATGTTTCATTCCAAAGTGAATAACTTTGAACTGCTAGGAAAATAGCAATTTAAAAAGAATTTTACTTTTCCAGGTAAAAGTGAAGTATTTTAGAGGTGATGTGTAGAGCAAGGTAAAAAGTTATGAGAGTCCTAGCTTTAATGGTCCATGCAATGTAACTTTTAATGCAATCCTTGGAAATGCACCTCTGTGTTCCATTAAACCACTTTTTGTTTTGCCATTTTCAAGGGTATTTTGGGGCCTTTTTGGTTTTTATGCTAATGGAAATTTCCATATTCATGAGCAACAGTGAAGCCATTTCAGGCAGAAACCTCAGTGTTACAGCTATTTCAGCACCAAAAGTTGCCAGAATTGTTTATATTTCGCTGTCGTAAATTTTTTTTCTTTGGTGATGCGTTGTTGTGTCAGCACATGGCAGTAAGCCAGTGAGCAAACTTTTCTCACAAATATTTTCAATAAGCACATTTTTGGGTTCACAATTTGAACAGAAAACCCAAAATGAACAGTGTCTTCCAGAAATGATATCACAGCAACAGCGCCCTCAGTTGTCCGGAAAAGCATGGAAAAATTTAATGTTTAAAGAAGTGTATTTATCAATCAAATTAACCAAAAGGGGATGTCAAATATTTCTCATGCATTACAGAGGAGTAGAAAGTTGCACAAAATATATTCCTGAGGAAAATTCACTTCATGGACCCTTTCAGTCAATGTCCACATTTGCTCTCCCCAGGAGTACAAGAAGAGGCACCAGAGAGCTCTCCGAGACTCCAAGAAGGCTGCCCAACTTAGCTCCGGCAGGAAACCAAGGAGGTGACCAAGACATGTAAGTGTCTTCTCTCCTTCCGTTGTTACATTCCAATCATGGATGTTTCAAGTAATGCATGCTACATCTACTCATTATTCACAACCTGAGATGAACAGAAATGTGCGAAGGGACTATTTGCAGCTTTCACCGAAGTGGCTGATGCGCCCAAAGTGTTTTTATTTGGTTGTTTAATGCCCATGGAGCAGCATAATGGACAGTTTTTATTATGACTGTTAAGGGTAATGGCGGTTGCATTGTACTGATGATGGAAATGATTGAGTTGAGAATTATAAAATGCCAAACATAGTCGAGTAACTCATACAATATGGTGTTGGTCATTGAACTCTTCTGGATCAGCATGCACCAAGTGGATGGTCTAGAAACGAATTCTTGAAGAGCCAGTCGTCTTGGACACGTGTGCTTTTGAACTAATACCATGTTGTGACAAGAGGAAGGAACACGTCACGGATTCTGGATTTTTTGCTGTAAGGTGCCGTCACTGCCACTCAATATGGAACTGAATGGACGAGCAGTTAGACAATTGCAACAGCTCAGCTGCATTTCTGATTAGAAAGCACATTCTTCAACAGGAGAACTTGCATACCATCGACTTTGTGAAGTAGATAGCAGTTGATGGCATTGTGGAGTGCCGTGGTTACGGTGTTCGGCCTGTGCGCTATGGCACATGGGTTCCATCCCTTGACGGGGAAACTTGTGCTTGTGTCCTAGGGCAAGACACTTTACTACAATTGCCTCTCTCTACCAAGGCCTATAACTGGATACCTGTGAGGGTAGAGACAAGATTGTGCTGATCTCGGCTGCACAAAACTGCTCTCGTGACCTGATGAACAGGGGTAATAACTGTGAAGCGCTTTGAGACCTAGCTTTCTTGAAAGTGTTTTATAAGCGACACATATTATTATTATTGTGCGACCATCTAATGATTGCTTTAATAGGGACATGGCTCTCTCGTGCACTGATTCTGGTACATATGGTTCTTGTACTCGCCAACAATTTTCATTAGAATGTATACAAACAGGTAGTGTCTTCGCACAAAAATGCACATCTGCACTGGTGCATGACAGCATCGACACTCGTGTGTCCTTCATTTCTTACTTGCTTGCACCATTGAGGGGGTACTTTTGCAGAGAGTCAATTCACAATATGTGAGGACAAATTGTATCAATTGTCAATATGATGGTGATGAAGTGATCTCCTAGTTCTCCTAGTCTTCTGCACTTCGCAACCCTTCAAGTTTTGCAAAACCACCACTTTTGCCCATAGAGTTAGCACCCACACTTCAATTTCCTCGGAGGTAATCTTCTGTGGAGTATGGATAACACTTCAAAATCCCTGCAGGATTCCTTTGTGTACTATAGGCTCAGGGCAAGAAGGCAGATTCAGTCACACTTTACATGCTTTACACAGTGCTGTTTTTTTGTGTGTGCAGCGACTCTCTGTGTGACATACATGTAGTTACTTTTACACTTCATATCCCTTCACCTGAAACTGACCTGCAGGGTTTTAAAGGGTTTAACATATTAGGCCCCCCCAAAAAAGTCTCCGGTTTCTGGTATGCGGGCGCGTCGCCGTAACCATGCGCGTCGGCAAAATGGAAAAGTTTTTTTTCAATGAAAGATGATGTCTCAAAACTGCCAAACTCACTGGTTTGACTGGAATCCTGCTTCTGCACAATTTTAACGTGTTTTTAGATTGGGTTATGGTCGAGAATAAGCTTTATGTGGCCTCTCTGGACTCCCATATATTTGCACTAAGTTTAGTCGGGCGCCATTTGCAGTCGTCAGCCGACATTTGAAGCAAAAAAATCAGGTAAAAAAAAAAAAAAAGCCGCGTCGCCGCACCACTTTTTGGGCAAGCTCCATACCAGAAACCGGAGACTTTTTTTTTTGGCCTTATGGTATTGTATTTTTATTCACGTTAGGCCGTTTTTTTTTAATTACTTGGATTACGGAATTTTTGGGTCCCCATTTCCGGCGGCGAGCGGGAAATGAAAAAAAAAAAAAAAAAAAAAAAATGGGGGCGCCCTATCATCCAACATGGCGGCGCCCATAGAGACATGAAGAAACAAAAACAGTCACTGCATTTTCAAAACCACGCTTTCAAAGAAATGGTGACCATGGAGTGACCAACGGCCCTTTCCTTTCTTTATTTCTTCAAACCTGTGCAATAATTGGTACTGGCGTATATTTTATGAGTTTTGTAATGCTCTGTGTACAAAGAATGGCAGCAACTAAATGAAAAACCGTGGCTCATAACAAACGCGTAGACTGTAGGTTCCGGGTGCTGTGGCATCGTGAACGTACATGACGTGACCCAGTACAGTGCATAGCTAGCTAGGTTGTCCGATTCCATGCATGCACCAAACAGGTCAGAGGACTAGACCACTATTCACTACGGGGGAGCGGTATAGTTTCACTGTACATGTACTGTTGAACAGAACGTGACCCGTAATTTCAGAATATCTAAAGTATATATTTCTAACAACGCCTTTCCAAACATCTCCTTTAGAACAATAGAAATACACATTTTACACAAAATGTGCAAAGGTACGACTGGCCATGCACAATATTTACGGCCACGTGTGGTCTGTGCACGGACTCACCATGTGCACCATACATGGCTGCGCGCGGCCCGCACGGCACAGTCTGTAGTCGTCGCCAGTCTAAGACCCCGTTCCCACTTGATCCACCAATTGGGGGATCTGATCCACCTTTTGCCAAATTGCCGGATCAGACCCCCCAATTGGTGGATCAGATCCGGCAATTGTGTGTAGTGGGAACGCTAACCGTTATAAGGTGGATCAGGATCAGATCCACCTTTTCTGATCCACCTCTGGACCAGGATACAGATCCCCCAATTGGTGGATCAGATCCGGCAATTGCAGGATCACGATCAGATGGGAACGCAAAAGGTGGATCTGATCCGGCAATTTGACCTGTTAACATCCGCCCGGTGCACGAGTGGCGCGAAAATGTTGCGGTCTCATGAACGAAGAAACACGTTTTCAGGCGTGTAGCTCATGTGGACATTTCCAGCGTTTACAACATGCACAATAAACAACCGCTGAACTACGGGCTAGCACCGCGCATGCAAAAGCGCACGTGGTATCCTAAAACTACACTATAGGCCTTATTTTTGTTGCGTGTTCGTCCATTACTAAACCTTTTTCATTCCTGAAATTTTACTTATTTTTCCATCCATAAATGACTCTGAGTCCGCACTCACCAAAAGACTTCACTTTGGCACAGAATCATTGAAAAGCTTACGAGTATGCGATGGGAATAGTGCCGATAACGCGGTACGTACGGGGGTGACAAATCTGAAGTATTGATTATAGAAAATTGGAAAATGATGTCGTAGTACATCATGTGACCGTTTCTAACCAATGAGAAGCTTCAGAACCAGGGAATCCCTTATCGATGCATTGGTTTCTGCCGTGATGTCACACGTGAGCGGCTCTGTTGGATTTCACCTTTTAATTTATGCACGCACGGATCCTCTACGGATCCGTGATTTATGTTGGTGAATTCGCGTAATTTTTGTCTGTGAATTCTGATAGTGCTGTTAGAAAACTGACCCATCCTGGCCTAGCATGCAACCATGCAACAATGGCACTCCCACAGAGCGCGCGTAATTCCGAACTCAGTGACCTTTCGGACCCAACATTTCCGTACGAAAAGGTGGATCAAGCATAAGTGGGAACGCGACTTGCGGTTTCGTTGCGGTAAGATAACGATCACACCAAAATGCCGGATCGTGATCCGCCTTTTTCCAAATCAAGTGGGAACGCGGTGTATGTCATGTCGTTCGATCAAACCAGTACTAATACTATGGTTTACAGGCCTTGACAGCGCGCAATATAGAGTTTTTTGTACAATAGGCACTTTTTTTTTTTTTTTTTTTTTTTTTTGGGGTAGTCAGAATCGACAATTTCCGGCGGCGATTTTTTTAATTTTTTTCAAAATTCCGATTTTTTCCGGCGGCGATTCCGTAATCCAAGTAATTAAAAAAAACCGGCCTTATCACATTGTGACCCAAAGGTCGGATTGCATGATAATCTGCAATATTCAAAACATCAAAATCATGGTAAACATTAATTAAACAAATAGATATAGAGAAAAACTCACATAAGTTGGTCAAGAAACAGGAAAAATGCAATTAGGACAGTGCACATTGCTCTAAGCATTGACCTCCCACCAGAATGGTTAATGATCCAACAGCAACAAGATGGTGATGGTAATACCATACAGGTGGACAAATCATAGACAGTCTTCAGTTGCTCTAGTTAATCAAGCTCCACACAAGTGGATACTGGAGAGTCCAATCTCTGCACAGTGGTGTTACTTAAGGAGATGTGAGAGAGTCTTCAAGAGTTTGAATGGGTTGAAAGTAGCTCCCAGCCATCCAGGGAGACTTAAATCTGAACCATCTGGTTGTTCTGACCTAATCAAAAGATCCAAGGCTCATCCCAGCAATTCCTTGGATTAGAGCAGCCAACAACCTCCGGCCAGAAAAAAAAATGCGTCCATCATCAGAAACTCTGCTCATCTGAACACACTGCAATGTAGTTGTCATCACCTTGATGGCCGACTGTGTAAACAGTGGGCCTTAGATTACCTGTAATCGGTGCGCGGTCTGCCTACCGCTGTTAGTCTCCAGCATTTAGGGTGCCTACTAGATGAGACAGCAAAATGCCACTTTTTGTATATTTTTCATGTATCACCAAGCCCAGTCAATAAGTTCTTCAAATGCAATAAAGAGTCATGGAAGAAGGTAACATGTGGAGACGTTTTTTTTTAAGGTACAAGATACAATTGTAGGATCATTTACGTTTTGTGCACTTTTTGTCATTTGAACCAACAACATTTCTCAAAATTTTAAAGCTACAGTCCATCATTTATAATTTGTGCATTTTGTTCGTTTGAAGCAACAAAAGAGTTCAAAATCTAATGAAGGATACTGAGCAACTAACCTGATGAAGTTTCAGCTAAGCTTCAGCTGTACATTCCGAGAAAAACAGCATTCTAAGATCTCAATTTCAAATCAAAAGTTACTGAATCATGTTTTGAATTGTTTTGAATTGCAGCTATACGCGACGTCGCGCACTGATTCGACGAATTACAACAACCGCGCGCGCATGTGCGTCGTTCCAATACTTGTGCGCGCTGCGCTGAATAACAGAACGAACTACTAATTTTAATTTTCCTACGGTGCTTCTTAAGAATCACCGTTGGAAATGCCTTCTTTCGTTGATTACTTCAAAATGACAGCTTCCCAGAAAGAATAATTTCACAGGGAGTTTAGTTCCCTTACTATCTTTCAACCAAGTTTGGTTTTCAACAATAATTACGTCAGTTACTTTTCGGATGGCTGCAAATGATGTACTCTAGCTTTAAGTAAGGTGCAAAACAAACCTTTTGAGGTCTTAGGTCATTGGCTACGATACATTTTGAATATATCGGAGAATGATTATGAAGTTTTTTATGTTTTAAAAGATCACTTTTGTCAAAAAAAGTGCAAATTTTTAAAGCTGTGGACCAGTTATTTTTTTGGGGTGTGTTTTGCTCTTTTTGGGGGCATGCTTCAGGATTTGGAGATGTGCTTTTAAACTTTCATTTTGAATTAAATGAATTGTATTATTGTTGAATATTAAATACATTAGGAATGTTAAGTTTATTGTCTCATGATTTTAATTGCCTATTGATACAATATATTTAAATTGTGACTCCTGGTCCTGGGCATGTTGCTATAGAAACATTCAGAATCCTTTATTTTATCCAAACACTGTGCAGTAAACTAATGGCACAATTTTAAAATTCAAGATGTTAGTAATGATGACATGGCAGTGCAGTCCTGCACTCACCTGTGTAAGGTTCAGGCTACTTGGGTCATTCTATACATTTTGGGTCCACTTTTTTCCCTGTCCCTGTTACATCTGCCATCTATGATTTTTATCATTCGAATGCACTCCCTAATGCAGCAGTTGAGTTCTCGGTGATTATTAAAGGGAATGTACAACATTTGCTTTTGCTGCAATTTCCAGAAATAAATGGATTTGGAGGATTAGTATGTTATAGCAAATATTGTTACACTGACTTGTTTCACATTTTGGGTTCGTAGATGCTGGAAAAACCAAGAAAACCAATCATATTCTTGTAGTCTGGTTCCCCTGACCCCACTTAAGATGAAACGGAGCAATTTATAG